CCAAATTACCACTTGCATTTTAGCGGTTTCTTTTTTCTCTTCAGTACCTTCCACAGAGCACTCTTGCTATCTACTTAAAGTCCTGGCAGATCTTGTTGAGTTGTATGACTAAGGTTTTATATGCATTTCTTACTTTTTATTTCAGGCATGTTTGACAGAGAAAACAAAGGGGGTGTGAACTTCAATGAATTCACAGGAGTCTGGAAATACATCACAGACTGGCAGAATGTCTTTCGAACGTATGACAGAGACAATTCTGGAATGATTGACAAAAATGAACTAAAGCAAGCACTAACAGGTTTTGGTAATTCATTAGTAATTACAGTTTTTATGACTGGGTTATGTCATAGAATGAGCTGCTTACTGGTACTGTTGCAGAGCTGTACTGCTCTGACAAATGTGACTAAAAATGAGGCAGGTGAAGGGCAGCTTTCCTTTTAGGTATAAGGTACCTTTTAATGATGTCCATGCCAGAGGCACATGTTTTTTTAAAGCTCTTTTCTTAAATAGAGAAAAAGGAAAACATTCAACACATATCCTGACACATCCAATTCCAGTCTCCTCTTTGACAAGCTCTGAGAGGGTTACCAATGTATCAGGCAAAGTCTGAACTAACAGGGTACTCCATAGAACTTGCCACTTTTTAAAACAAGGCCAGCTGTCCATGCTGTGAGAGCATTCTGATGCCTAAGGAACTTTCATTCCAGTCACTTCACCTGTAAAGACTTGAACTGCAGCCCTAAACCATTCCCTCAATCAGTCACCTTAATCTGTAATTATATTTACTGTGACTGTATATAATTATTATTGAGCATGGGTTTTATTGCATGCATTTTAGTTTAACTAAAAAAATCATTGTAACTCCTTACTGTTTTGTGGTTTTGTTACACATGCCTGCTAAACAACCTTGTTCTTTTTATAGAAGGACTGCAGTAATTGAAACCTTCTAAAGTATTTCTTTTTCCAAGGTTACCGACTGTCTGATCAATTCTATGATATCCTTATTCGGAAATTTGACAGACAAGGAAAAGGACAAGTTGCTTTTGATGATTTTATTCAGTGCTGTGTTGTTCTACAGGTAAGAAAGGAGAGGTACTTTGATGTCAATTGAAAAAAAAATACCTTGAGCTTTTCTGGTTCTTACTTTAACAGTGGATCTAGAACTTGCTCTTATTTATAGTAAGCCATTTGAACTAAGTATATGCTAAGTGCTGGAAACATCTTTGTGTATTGGTCTTCATTAGTAATTTCTTTGCATCACAAGTAAATTTGATACAATGGGTGAGGGACAAAAAAGTGTAAAATAGTATCAGTGTTTGACACTGTCTGTTAGTTTAATACAGACCTCAGAGCTGATCTTGCAAGGCTATTGGTAAAAATACACAAAAAACCTTCCAGTCTTTCAGTAACACAGAGAGTGAGAAAAAGAGAGAGAACATGGAGGGAAAGCAGTTCCCTGTAAAAGTCGCATCCCTGTTATTTAGACACATCAGTCACCTTTGCATTCCTTTGTAATACAAGGCAATTATGGTTAATTGTAGACTTGAACTCTGCTAAAAAGTGTTTTCAAATGGAGTATCACTCAGCTGATGTTAATGAAACCGTGCTGGCAGTTGTTCTGTTCCTTTGTCTCTACTGCCTGGCATCTCTGAGATTATACAGCGACACCTTAGATAGCAATGGCACATGAAGCATATTTGCCTGGAAGGTGAGATATGCACAAGGTATGCATTGACTCAAACATTGCATTGGTTTTCCCCCTGCTTTAAAGCCAGTTATAAAAAGCTGTCTGGTTTATATAGAAGGTAGCCTTAGGTATTGCATTATATAAGGCTGTAAAATGGCTACAGAAGGGATGACCAGAAAGGGTTCATAAAGCTGTAGAAGCCCCGGTGGCAAGGGGAGTATGTAGCAGTCTGAACCTTCCCCTAGAATAAAAATGTCTTATTTTTTTTCTCTCCTCCTCAGAGGCTGACTGATGTGTTTCGACGATACGACACTGACCAGGATGGCTGGATTCAGGTGTCCTATGAGCAGTATCTGTCCATGGTCTTCAGCATCGTATGACACCAATAACCAGGAATTGCACACTGGCATTGCACAGACTGGAGTTGCCAAATCATCCTCTACTGAATAAGATTATGTATTATAATGGATGTAACATCACATTCTTAAATTTTGTATGTTGGTAATCATTGTCAGAATCTGTACTTGAGTTGGTTTTATTTTGTATTATTGTATGATATGACCATCTCTGCTTACTGTAGTACAGAAAGCACAGAATCTAGATTTAACCAGTACAATGTTGAACTCTTACACATATCCTTACCTCTTATGCATATCCTGCATGGGAAAAATGACTCTTTAGAAATGCCAAATTAAAATTATGCTTGTTAGTTTATATCAGTTGAAAGCCAGAAGTTGCACAACATGTTTTGCATGTGCCTTACTTTTATAAGAGTTTAATGTATTAATTTTTAAATACAGAATTTAAAATTAAGTAAAAATACCAGGTCAACTTTTAGTCTGTTTCACTTTTGTACAGCTTTAAGGGTATGGTATTTTATTTCTGTATTCTCATTTTCTATGATTCAGGGATCTCTCCACTTGGATGGCCTTTTTTATTTTATTTTCTAGCTGCCTCCTTCTTTCAGGGTATCCTTAGGATGCATTCAAATACAATTTCTTCTCACCTGTGAAGAAAGTCATACTGCAACTCCCTTGATAAGTTCCCCACAAAAATGAACTCTGATTCTGAATATGCTCCTTTTGCTTAGTTGTTTCATTTGACATCAGAAGTCTTCCTTTTTGTGCTGAAGCACTTATTTGAAGTGGCCTTGAATTGACAGTCAGACATTCTTGTAACTTTACCCTACATTTCACCACTTACAGCTAATGAGAGTGGAAAAACTCAAGCAAGACAAGTAATGACTGATTCCTGTCATACACCATCTCTTGCAGTAACTCTGAAGAATCAACTTGGAGGAAGCAAAGACAATCTGAGTTACAATGTTACTTCCAGGTCACCCTGAGACTGGCTCACATGGTCAGAGAATGGTACAAATAACACCAAGGTCACACGTTCAATCTCTGTATGGTCCATTCACTGAACAGCTGGACTTAGTGATCCTTGTGGACTCTTTCCACTCAGATGATTCTGATTCTGTGTCTCACCCAGAGTAGAGTATCTGGTGTCAGGATGAAGGCAGCAAAGTGGCAACTGTGCAACTATTATAAAACATGCAAAGAAGCTGCTACTATTTGTCAAGTAATAGTCAGACCCTTAGTGACAGCAACACTGAACACTCTTCTGGTGTCAAGTATGTGGGGGAAAACCCATGGCCCCTACAGCATAAGCACACTGAAACAAGGAGATCTCCCAGAGCACTCTGGGGGTCCTCACCCTAAAGGCAAGGAAGTGGTTTTGGGTGAGAAGGAAGATCAAGAATAATGACCAGTGTCAGAAACCACCTCCTCCAACAGCTGTGAAAGTTACATTGAGGAAAACAAGGGAAAAAGACTTCCACCAGTTAACCCTTTGAACCTTCCCTCCTTGGAAGGCTGAGATAGTAACTCTATATGCTCTCTCCAGAAACAAAACAGAAGAGAATTCTTTTGAGAACTTCTGGGCTCAAAAGAGCTTCCCTGTTTCTTTCCACTAAGAAATCTGTCCCTTTTGATCATACATCCACTTAAAATCCAGTAATTCTGGGAAGCATTTTGAGGAGTAAGTAAGGTACAAACTAAAAAGCTGGAATCTGAGAAACTTCCCAAGTTGTCTCCCCTGAAAGATGTCTCCATGTCCAGCTGGCCTTGTTGTATTTCACTGCCCTTGGTGCAGAACAGCTGACTCCAGCACTTCCTAAAGGATACAGAGAATCATCAAAGGTGGCTATGGATTGGAACAGCTCTTGTCCCACTGGGAAACAGTGTGTGAAAACAGGTGTGAAAGCAGGTACACCAAGATCAAGAAACTGACTAAAAGTAGACCATTTATCCCCAGTCCAAGACATGTTCCAGTCTGGGTTTTTGTCACTGGCTTTTTAAGGAAACTGGAAATTTGCTCCAAGGGCTCAGGTGCATTCAGAGAACTACTCCCTCCATGCCAAGGCCTGTGATGTAGCTGCAGTGGTGCTGACGGCTGCCAGGCAACCGGTGCTGCTCTGCAGGCTGTCAGGACTACTTTGTGAGGTGGTTTCTTAAAGAAGGATTGGAGTCTAGACAGAGTTCTGCTCCAATTCTGTACTACATAGGAGCTAGATATGGTAAAGGGTTTTCTTGGAAGTAAGAAGTACTCAGCACTTCAGGAAAGCTTTAGTAAATCAGTGCTGTCTTACTACTCCAACTCCATTTCCAAATGCAAGAACTGTTTCCCCAATGCAGGACTCTGCACAACAACAAAGGAAAGAAAAATTACAGAACATGTAGGTGGAAATAGCATCTAATTTGGGTGGAGCTCATCCAGCTACTGTATGTCACTGGGGTATACAGTGATGGTAGTAAAATCCAAAAGGAGTGAGAAATGGGGAAAAGAGTTCTCTGCAACAACCTCAAATGAAACTTTGAATTAACTTGAATTGACAGAATTGCAGCAGTAATATTTTCTAGCAACATTTTTTTCTACAGTTTCAGAATTTTAGTTGCACTACACTTTCTGTGGAAAAAAACCTATGCTAGTAACCTTTGTGTAAATAACTTCTGGTAATTTTTAAATGTAGATATAATAACTAATCAATCCTACAGACTTGTAAATCTAAACTCTGGCAGACACCTGTGGCAGAAAAAAACAATTTTCCCTTTTAAGCAAGAAGGTTGACTAGGTAATACAGTGCATGGAAGTGTATGGCACAACTATGAGCTGTGTGATGTTACAAACCACTCCAACATTTCAGTAAGTATGAGCAGTGAACAGGAATGAAACAGTGAACAGGAACAAAAAAGGAAAGTGGATCTTTTCAGATACAGAAACAAAATCATGACAGAAGGAAGACTTTAGGGAATTGAGTTTAGATGCTCAATAATAAATTGAGTTGAGTTTTTATTAAAATTTACATAACAAGATCCAAAATGTTTTATGACAGCTCATGAAGACTAACCCTGCTTCAGCACAAGTATTTAATGCACAGAGACACGGTTCCAGCATGGGTAACAAGAAAAATGATAGTCCACAATGCAGCAGTGAAAAGGAAAACAGACACTCAGGAGTAAACTGTCTCACTTTACTTCTTTTCTTCAGCTCCATGTAAGCTGGTTTTAATTACATAGAGCAGATATCTAAAGCCAGGCATTCATGAGCATGTGGCTCTGATACACTGCATGAACTGGTAAGTACTCTCAGTTAGTACAACAATTTTATTTTTTCCTGTTATTTTATCTGATTGCGTTATGGGTTCTACTATTTCTTAATATGCTTTTGCCAATAGAAAGAATCAAAAATTTTTATTTTAGCATGGGTCCATTCACCAAATGAGTTTTTAGGATAATTCATAATTATTTCATTTCGAACAACATGATGTAAAAATTTGCATATATTTCACACCATTTCTTACTCTGCAAATTGAAACTGATATGCCCCGTTACATACCAGTCCTCTAGCACAGATTACGTTTTCCTCATATAGCATCACATTAAGATGGAGAATATCTTTGCTGTAACATTCTCCTTTCTTTCTCTAAACAGAAATGTAGTATATCAATTTCTAAAAATATCCTAATTATAAAGCCTCAAATTAATGAAACTGGCCTTACATTTGTGTGAAAGAAAGTAAACCTGTATTTTCAATTAATATTCTTCCTAAGTAGAAGCATAAAAGTAAACCTTTCTTTCTTTTCTGAATTGAGAAAGGTATTAAAAGGATTGTTAACTTTTTGCTGACAGAGTAATTTTAACATATTTTCAAAAAATAACAAAAGATCTTTTTTCTGAAATATACTAAGATATAACAAATACATTACAAAAAGCCTAAACAAAATAGTATGTTTACCCATTATGTGCAAGTTCATGTTCCAGCTATATTTCACATGTCAAAAACTTAAACTCTCCCTCCCTTTACCTCTCCCAAACCAGCCAAACAAAGAGTTAAATGCAGTCTCTTTCCTGAAAGCCAAGGGATGGAGATTCTCAAATCTCTTCGTCTGTTTCCAAGTCAGCTGCTGCTCCTTAATCCTTCTCTCTAGCTTCTATTAGCACATTGACGAATGTCTGAATATTTATTTCTGGAAAGGGGCAATAAAGATATTTAGAGTTACTTCTATCTCATAACATTTCCATAATACAACATAGGGAATATGAAAATAAAAGTTTTACTGTTAAGTAGTTACCTAATTAATTACCTAATTCTAGTACCAGAGGCATAGTTTGCATTTGTCCAAACTCATGCCCAATGACAGCTATGCAGTAGCATATCCCCACTTCTCTTTAAGTCCCTCTCATAATCTATTTCCAAAGGAGAAACTGTCATTTTGAATAGTATATCACTATTCTTGACATTAATGACTATTTCTACAGCAACTGGAAAAAAGAAATTCACACGAACCAGCTCTTTGATAACGTTTCTCTTGTTATCCAAATGGGTTTTGGTTCGTTTGGATTATCTACTATAATCCAGGCTTGGTTCTGCAAGCATTCCAGTATTTTTTTCTTTATGCCAATACATTCCCCTCCCATCATTGCAAATCTACCAGTACAACTCATGATACAAACTGCTAGTTAGAAAGATGACCTAGGACAAACCTTTCAATTCAGGAAATTTTTGCACTATCAAAACCTTCTCCCACTCACTAGAGTGCTCCATCTAGTTCCCAAGAGGCACAGTGTCCTCAGAGAAGCAACAATGCCTTTCTTCAGCTGATACAGATGTGAGCAAAATGAGCTTGACTCCCCTGAGCAGCTCATCCTATCTCTGCCACCCGCAATCTCCTGCCTACGTTACAGCAACCGCGCTGACGTAACTCACTGCACATGATCAAAACTAATCACCAGCTTACTTTGAAGCGCTGGATGATACGGAGCCAGCTGTTTGAGCATCCTGGTCATTGTAGGGACATCCTTTCCTAGCAGTCTGTTCACAGTGTTGGGAGCAAGACCAACATCAACTCCATTAAACATCTCTTCTGAGCTTCTGAACTGCTGGTGATCTTGGTATGAACCCCTGCCAGAAAATGAGTCCTGATGTGAACTCCAGTCTCTCTGATAGCCTGATTTCTGATAACTGAATCCTTGACACCTAGATTCCTGCTTCCAGCTAGAGTCCTCATTCCACCTATAGTGCTCATTCCACCTAGTGTCCTGGTGCCACCTGGAGCCATCTCTTCCTGAAACAACAGAATTTGCAGAAGATGTACAAGTATTTGTGGACTCATAGGTCTTGTAAGAGGAATAGTTTTGTGAAGCATAGTTTGTAAAGTATCTTCCAGATGAAGTATATGAGGCAGAAGAATTGGGATAGGATAATTCTTGGTCACTTATATGCCTTGCTTTGGTACACACTTGTTGATTCCTCCATTTTGTATTTTCTCTGCCAAATGAGAGTCTGTTATCACAGAGCTCACTTCCTTGCACATCACTGGATATGTATTCTGCTGAGTACTCCTTCACTGGGCTGGTCTGGTATGGAGAGGGCACAGCAGCCAAATCTGTGCAGGGCATGGAGTTTCTGAGCTGTCTCAGCCATTCGCTGACACCACTGGCAGGAGTGTCAGGCTCAGCAGCAGGAGAATCCCCGAGCAGAGACATACTTGCAAAGTTGTCAGATGTCAGATGACAGGAGGATGATCCATCACCTGCTTGGTAACTGTTTGAGTGAGCAGGAGCAAAAGAAGCATCTTCAGAACACTCTTCATACTGGGACAAAAAACCCTGATTCCAGTCAGAACTTCCTGAAAAAATAAAGGGCACTTAAAATTAGCAAAATATTAAAATACCAGCTGCAAACACAACTACTTTGAGATTTTATGATGTGTACTTCTCTTCTTTTCCCATTTCCTGCCTTTATGTCTTACCTGACTTTGGCATCTTTTCACCCAAAAATTCAAATAGTAAGTAGATCAGGAAGGGTTACTGCTTGAATTTCCATAACCTTAACTGCTATATCACTGTTCAGTGAGACAGGAATGTTTTCAGACAGTAAAGTCATTAAAGCTCCAGAAAATTATATCCTGAACTGATTCAGACAGCACAGACTGTACTGGTACTTAGCTGGCACACCAGCTAAGAAGCACTATGGCTGGCTATAAAAGTAAATTTTCACAATCTGTGCAGGCTCCAGAGTAAACAAACTAGTAGAAAAAAAAAATCTAAATTACCTTTGTATTCTACATCTGGCCCATAGTGTTCTGGGATGCTTTTCCCTTCTGGAAATTCATCTTGCGGTACTGACATCAGGGGGCCTAAACTGTTGGTGTAATTACCCTAGGTAAAGCAAAAGGTCAGAATGTCTGTTTGCAAATGCAAGAATTTAAGAACTACAAATTCTAAAAAACAACAAATTTCCCATAGAAAGTTTGCAAAGTACAATTTTAAGTGATAGCAAAATCCATATGAGGTGTGTGTTGTTACAACACTATAACACTATTTTCCAGTGTTATTTGGAAGAGGTATGTTCCTGGAGAACAGAAGAAGGTCTCTGGTAAAGACAATGTCTCCTGTTTCAAATTTATTGCCTCGTCTCTCTTATCATCACCTGGCAAAAATACAAAACTGCTGCATATGCAAATCCTGCCTCCATCTGGGTAATGCAGAATGGAAGGCCCAGCTGAGAGATTAAGCAACAGAAACAATATTTAACTTGTGTTTGTATCAGCATTTGCACAGAGACAGTTACTGCAGCTCACTTGACGTGGAATATACAATTGAGAAAACAGTCTGAAACAGCTTTCAGAAAAAAAAAAAAAACAAAACCTGAATTTTGTGAACCTGTAGCTGCCAGAGTGATGAATCATTTATTCACAGATTCTGGTCCTTCTTCAGACTGCTTTTTCCACAGGTAGTCAACCTCTTTGCAAAGGAGCTATGGAGGTTTGTAATGACCAACAGATAGTCAAGAACATCTTGCCTACCTTAATCTTAACAGATCAACTCTCAAGTGAGAGCAAAGCCACAAGTTATGAGAAAGACAGACCTACCCACTGGCCCACAAAAGAAAAAAGTGGCATATTTGGGTGGCACTTAAAGCCTCATTGATCTTAGAACAAAAGCTAACAAGCAAGGGACCACCACAAAAATGATGACAACCTGTCAACATTAAGCAAAATGGTGCCCAGAACAGAACACACACACAAAAAAAAGCCAAAACAGATACATGATGATGGAATACTAAGAGAAATGTGTTATGTAATTAATATATTTGTTATTAGAAATTGTAAAAAAAGAAAATTGAAGTACATGTAACTGGAGTTTTCAACCATGCCTGAACTGTTACAGGTGGGCAGGGTGTTAACACAGTGAGTTTAACCACTCCTTTCCTCCCAATGGTAAAACAATTCTGGACAAGATTAAGTTACTTACTGCTGCTTTCTTTTCACAAAAAGCCTTCAAAGCCTCCATGAGTTCCTGTGTAATGCGAACAACAAGTGTTGCTTCTGAGTCTGAGGTGATGTGAAAAGTCTCCTGTCAAAAAACACGGTTAGAATTCATCATTAGGATGCCAAAGGGTCAAAGACACAAACAGATCAAAGTTATACTTTGATTTTTGTACAACCAAATTTATACTATTGGTTAATACATGGCATATATGATAAATGTAAACAAAAATATCAAAAAATGAAATTGGGAGCATAATTATGGCCTGATAAAAGGTAAAACATAAACTTGGACTTCTGCCGCTCCTGTACTGTCAAGTCCATAAACATTTTGCTGCAGACAGAGAAGGGCACAAGTCCTAAATTTATATTATCTGTGTAGAAAATGGAATAAAAAAATAAGCTTTAGGCTGATTACTAAGTAAATAAATTTATAAGTGATTACAGTAATTTAAAAGAATATAGGCAGTCTTTTGTAAGGAATAGCTGTGATTCCTGTACATAAAAGCCAATTAACTACCAAGTTTTTTTGTAGTTTACTGATTATCCCTTAGAATTGCTTTTTCTCTCTCTTCCTGAAGTCACAAGTAACCACAGTGTGGAAGACATGAAGCACACATTTCAAAACATTCTACTTCTGATTTTGGTATATAAACACAATTCAAACTCAAATGGAACTTTCCAATTGCCTTAGGTACTTTCACAGAGTAAAAGTCGGGTATTTTCATAAACCCAAAAAACAAAATGAGGCTTACTATGCCACTGTCAACAGCAACAGAACTTATAAAACTTCCCCAATCCCCCCAAGACCAGCAGCTCTGCTCTCTCTGGCAGCCAGACCAGACTGGCTCCACCCCAAAACTTCCCCAAGCCACCAAGACCAGCAGCTCTGCTCTCTCTGGCAGCCAGACCAGACTGGCTCCTTTTGCTCAGCATTATCAACAATCCCATTAGAGATGGGCAGCCAGCAGCCCTTGAGCACCATCAGTGCTGCTAATTTACACTGCTGGTCAGGGTGGCTCCTCAGCAAAGGAGAGAGTCATCCACAGAACAGGTTGAGAGTTCACATTTAATCCAGCCAATTGTTTTGAGCTAAGCTACAGCTGTATGAACTTTTGAGGGCAGAGTCCACTAAAACAGAAATTGATGTTGCAGTCAAATCAGTCTGATCAGTAATCAGAGGCTCCTTCAAACAATATTCACTGCATTGTACTGGTGAAACATCACAACTCTCATCACAGTTATTCTACATACATACCAAGAACTCCAGAGCTTTTTGTTTCCGAACAGGATCATTCTGTGGAATTGTAGAATAGGGAAAAAAATTTAAAAGACTGAATTTTACAGCAGTTGTTGCATCATTTTGTACAAAACAAGACATTTTAATATTTTATCCAACAACAAAAGTCAACACAAAGAAAAGATAAAATTTTAGGTCAGAGCCATAAACACGTAACCTTAGATCTTCAGTATCAGCTTGGTAGCAGCTATACAAACACAACTGCTTTATTTCCAATACCAGGAAGAACACATTTCACATCTAAGCCACACATCTACAGGAGCAATTTTTCCCAGCCTTTCCTCACTCAGGAGCAAAATCATGTTAAAAAAGTCAAGTGCTTAGCTGCATTTAGCATAGTACCTGACCAGCCAGAGGCCCCCACAACCAACTCTGTCACTAAGATAAAAACAAGGCACTTCTCAGTGTTTGTCTCCAGAGCTAATCAGGGCAGATACTTCAGTGATCATTTTGAATTTCACCTTTGAGTTAGACAAAAGGATTGTAAATCTTTAGATATATCCTAAGATTTAAACCAAACTTTCAGTATAGAATAGTCTTGATCTGAAGAGGGACAAAACAGGGAATTGGAGACTGCAGCACAGGCCAGGAGCCCTGCCCTGGAGACACTGGCTCTGAGACTCAATGGCTCTGAACAGGATTCATGAAAGCTAAGGTGAATGTACTGTATTCTCCTCTGCTATGATGAACACAAAACTCTGACTCATTAGGTCAATTATTTCTGCAACAATATTAATAAAATACTAAATGAAGCCAAAGAATAAGCATTTTCCAGAAAAAAATAAAAACAAGCATAAAGAAACTGGTACAAAATGAGACACTTGTGGGTATGTGAACACTTGTGTGGAGTTATTGCCTCTACATACCTCATGCTTATCTTCCCACCTTAAAAGAAAAAAAAATACAGTATTAAGATGCATTCTAAAAATTACTAAAATATTAAGTTTACTCAAAATATTTCAGTTTCCAAATTTTTATCACTTCCCAATACTAGATATCTTTCTCTAAGAAATAACAGTGTTTTTAATATGCTGTGAAGGTCCTTATTCTGACTGACTCTCAAAGAGATCAGTAGTGCAGATGAACGTCTTTACAAATCAGCTAAAGGACATGACTAAAATAATGGTGAGTTGGGTTTTTTCTTCCCATATAAACAGCTTTTTATAAAACTTACTCAGCCAATGATATCCCACATAGAATGGAAGCAGCTTGAAATTTCACTTGGAATTAGTTTTTGAGTGCAGTATTTCAAAAGCCATAGCTGCTACTTCCTCACATACAAAAAGGAACAATTTACAGAAGAGAAGTAAGTACAGTGGAAAGACAATATAAAATATTTTCCTATGTCATGATGTTTGCTACAGAAAAATAGATTTAAAAAATCTCTTTTGATTCTCCTGTGCAGGTAGTACTCTCACCTTGTTTTCTTCTTCAATGCAGCTAGAAGATGAGAAAAAGAATTATTAGCAACATCATAAGGTTTGCACTGTATTTCTGCAACAAAAGCATTACACCAACAGAACAGTTACTGGCTGTGAAGTGGCTGCTGTTTCTGTAAAGGGCAGGATTCAGCAGCAAATGGCACACACACCCATCTTAGAAACCAGCAGGCATCCTTGCTGAAAAGTCTGCGGGAGACCTGTGCCCTAAAGGCTTTTCAGGTGTGCCTACAGCACTGTGTTCAGGCAGCTGGACCCCACACAAGAGGGCGGTATGGAATAAACTGAGGGTTTTTTTCAGAGTTTCATATCCTGTAGGACTGGGTGGGATCACTTTTTTTGATGTTCCAGATTGATATTTAACCATGTCTTCCACTTTTACAGAAGTCTGCTGACTTGACTGATGTCAGTTTACTCTGAACTGAGAATTACCCAGCTAATTATTGGGTCACACTCCCTCTTCTTCACAAGAGACACAAAGATCAAAGATTTCTGCCACATTCAAAAGTACAAGACACAGAAGCCACCAATGACCAATAAAAAGGAGAAAAAAGAAAAAAAAGCACTGCTGTGGTAGGCTCCTACAGCAGGATTCACACTGACAAATTCTGTTGATCTAAGCAACCTTCACCCACTTTAATCAAACCCACCTTCCTTCTGATATTAACACTAGGGTCACAAGGCAGAAAGGAGGTATTCCTCCAGATTAGCATCATTAAGGATCTATAGCACACCTACAGTAACAAGAGATGTAACTCAGCCATGCTGTATGAGGGAAGATGCTGGGTTTATGTTTGTGGGTTTGGTTTCCATCGTTTCCACTTTCACCAGGGATTCAGCACGTAAGTCTCCTGATGATGGAAAGGAGGGGGAGGAGACTTCATCAGTTTATTCAGAGAAAGCCACCAAGTACCAAGTACTTTTCCATACTTTTTAACTTTCCTTGATGAGCAAATTACCGCAGCTATCTATCATAAATACTTCCAGAACCAAAAAGTTAAAAAAATATAAGGAAGACTGGAAGTCTGGCAATTTCCTTCTTTCACCACTTCAAAATCACAAAAATCAGAAAAATCTCTGAAAACATCTTGTATTATTACAAGTTGAATGTTTTACATCAGTCAAACCCTTTGTTCAACTAGTAAGTCAAATTAGGCCAAATATCAATTATATCAAATCTACTATATTCAAGAAATTCACAGACTTACATGAGGTAGCTGGTCTTATGTAACCTTCCCTCTAAAAAACAGAAGTTTCATATTAAACTTTCTGACTAAAATTTCATAACAACAGTCTCTACTGCAACTGCCATTAGGAAAGGAACAAGTGCTTTTATTTATGCCAACATAATTAAATTGAATTAAATTCCTCACACACATAAAGACTCCTGTAAATATAAATGAAATTTGAGAAAAAAATTGCTTACATTTGAGAAAATGTTAAGTTGCAAAAATTAAAAATTACTGACATTTAAGTAATAAAATTTCTGAATCACTGCAATCAGACTGAACAATTTGCAATTTAAAACATCTAAAACCTTAAAAATATTAATTGTCTTTCTTCAGAATAATTTCAATACTACTGCCCTTTTCCCTGGATCTTTCAGGGCAACCTAAAGATAAACCTTAGTTTAACTCACTACTACACCTCCTAGAAACACACAGAAAATTTAACAGGCTTTGCCAGCACTGCTTTTAAAATTTACTCTATTAAACATAAATGCACTGATAAAAGACACATTGAGAGATACTTTACATTTATTTCCAATTACCTTATACATTTTTAATCCTTCACTCTTCTCTAGCTCTCCTGCTATCCGTCTGAAAAACGAGACTTTGCATTCTTTTGCATCTGTTGGTCTTCTCCTCATTTTATCTGGAAATTCTTTAGACTGTAAACAAAACCAGCTTGAAAAGGTTAATATCAAAATTTATCATAATATTAAAAAATTTACACATTTCACCTTCTGGACAAGTTTCCAAAATACTGGTAAACATTGATTTGAATATGATGAACTAATTTCTTCTCTGCAACATATCTAATTCAATTTTAGAGTTACTAAAGTAGTCTTCAAACCGAAAACCATGCAAAGCTTGCTGCCAGAAGGAAACACCCTCTGTACCAAATCCAGCAATGCTATGGACATGCTGGGGAATAAAAAAGAATCCCATTGTTTTTGGAACCTGATCCTGGAAAGCAATCTAAACACTTAGGAACAGACTTTGGAGCTGAATCAGGCAGGCAGCCCTGGGCTGCACTGCCTCAAGAGCCCACAGCATCAGAGCCCTTCATGTTGGCCTGACCCAGAGAGTCAACTATACAAGTACTGGCAATTTATCACATGGGGGTTTAAACTTCAAATGATCTAATTATTTAGGAAAAAAAAATAAAAGGGGAGTATCCTAAAGAAATTTTTATCAAAATGCATCGAAATTACTCACAATGTATTCTCTTCTGTGTTTATATCCACTAAGATGCTCTATCATAGGTGCCACCTCTGAATTACACCCACACAGCCTGCACTCATAACGTGGCTCTCTTTTCCCTTCAAATCTGACTTCGACCACATGCTCTAAACCTGTAAAAGCAAGAGTTACAAATATCTCTATTTTACTACAGACTACTGAAACAAATGTATTCTTTTCAATGCTGCTTATCAAATTCAAAATTAATATACGAAATTACTCCATTTTCAGAATTTGACACTCCTTCAGGATCACTTCAACACTTCTTTGGACTTATCACCCAATCAGCTAAATTTATCTCTTTCCAATATCTTATTCTGAAAGGAAATATGCCATCTATGGCAGATTTCAAAGCCCACCAAAATATTTCATGCATCTTTACTCCTGTCAGGGATATTTTTTCAAGAAACTGAGAAAGAGAATGAGAATAGAAAATGCCCTACAAATGTCTAGATTTTAAAAATGCATTTAAAATACTTAGTCAAACATAATTTGGACCGTATCTGAGTAAAAGCAGATGTAGAAAAGACATTAATCACTTCACAAAACTGAATCTTTCATAATCTGAAAATGTTCCATAAACTTTTAAGAACCACAAGAATGGAAATGGAAATATTCTTCATTTTTCCTACAAATTACTGAGACAATCCCTTTAAAGTATTCAGAAACCTTCAAGTTTGAGGCTTCTTACCTAGCATGTAAAGTTTTATTCTGAAAAGCTTGAACATAATAAATTTAAAAGCAGTTTAAAACAAATAGGAAAACCCTGCAGCTGTTCCCTTATGTCATAATTTCCAGTACTCTGTATTTGTGATGGGTTGATCCCAGCCAGCAGCCAAGAACCACATAGCTGCTTGCTCACTCACATCCACACCCCTCAGCAGGGTGGGGAGAACACAGGAAGAACAAAAGCAACAAAACTCATGGACTTAAAGATAATTTAATAAGTTAAGGAAAAAGAGGTAAAAAAAACCCAAAACCAACCAACAAGCAAAAACCCATCACTCACTTCCCCACAGGCAGACCAATACCCACCCACACTCTCTGAACAGCCACCTTGGAAGTTAAACCCTCCTTCCTCCCTTTTTTTCTTTCTTTACCTCAACTGTGATTACTGAGCATAACATTACGTGGTACGGAATATCCTTTGTGCCAGTTTGGGCCAACTTCCCTGGATGTGCCACCTCCCAGCCTCTTGCCCACCCCCAGCTTATTCAAGGGGTGAGGGCCCAGAGTAACAAAAGAGTCTTGATGCAGGTGCACTGCTCAGCAACAGGAAAAGCCACTGGGATGTCATCAAAACTGCTTCAGTCACAAATCCAAAACATACAGACTGCTATGAACAAATTCAACCCCATTTCAGACCTGATACAGTATTATACTGCTAAATCTTAACTCTGAAAATAAATTACCACCAAATGAACTAAAAGTGCTCTTGCAACTGAAGTGTTTTCTATTACAAATGCTTGTAAGTAAAGTATTCACTTCAAAAAGCCTGGCAATTTATTAGGTAGAGTAACTACAAGACAATGCACTAAACAGAGAAATTTTCTGCTAATACTAGGAAATTTGCTACTTAGGCCTTCATCAGAGAACCTATTTCTCTAGGCCACCATGATACACTTGGAACACTAAGGCCACTGAGAAGCAGCCTTGCTACTCTCCTAAGGGTTTCTAACCTAGCAGTTAGAAAGAAAAAAATTAAAACTCATCTCACTACTTCCAGTACAGCCAAGGACAGAGAGGAAAAATATCTCACTAAGTAGAAACATCCCACTGTATATCCCACCAAGTGGAAAGCCACAAAGAACCACAACTGATGACAAGTCCAGTTGGAGGCCAGAAGGCAGCAGTGCACCCCAGGGGTCAGTACCAGGTCCAGTCCTGTTCAAAACCTTAATTAATGATTCAGATTATGCAGAGCATAACCCCAGCAAGGCTGATGATGACACATAACTGGGAGGGATGCAGATACACCAGAGGGTTGTGCTGCCATCCAGAGGGACTCTGAGTGGCTGGAGCTGGGCTGACAGGAAGCTCAGGAAGATCAACAAGGGGAAGTGCCAGCTTGCATCCAGAGAAGAACAAGCACCAGGGCATGCTGGGGGCTGGCTAGCCAGGAAGGACATTTGCAGGAAAAGACCTAGTGGACACCAAGCTGAAGATGAGCCAGCAAAGGCTGATGGTATCCTGGGCTGCACAAGGAGGAGTGCTGACAGCAGGCTCCACTCAGCACCAGTAGGGCCATTCCTGGAGTGCTGGGTCAAGTTCTGGACTGCACAGTACAAGAGACATGGGCATAGAAGGGCCATGAAAATGACAATAGTACTAGAGCATCTCTGCTACGAGAAAAGGCTGAGAAAGCTGGAACTGTTTATCCTGAAGAGGAAAAGGCTCAAAGGGGATCTCATCACTGTGTATAAATACTTGAGGTAAGGATGCAAACAGAGAGCTGTTTTCAGTGCTAGAACAAGAGGCAATGGCACAACTGAACATCAGGAAACACATTCTGACTGTGCAGGAGACTGAGCACTGGAACAGATTTCCCTAAAAGAATGTAGTTTTTCACTCAGGAGATTTTCAAAAGCCATCTAGACATGGTCCCAGACAACCTCCTCTGGGATTTGAGCAGGGGTTAAAACAAGCCCCTTCCAACCTCAACCATTCTGTGATCTGGAAAAAGCTTCTTTACTTAGGTGGCTGCTTCAGGAACAAGTTAACAGTTAAGGAGGCCTTTATAATACCCAGTGCAATAAACTAAATTTAAAATGGTAAGAGATAGGTAAGTTATTAAATACATTTAAAGAAAATGAAACTATAACTAAAATCCCACCTTTTTTTTCAAAAGAAAGCCATTTAGTAACAAATTCAAAGGCATACAATTTATAAAACAAAAAACCATACCAATTAGAGGCTCTTCTCTTCTGGGATCATTCATAAAATCCTTCAGACAGGTCATGTACCCTGTGAATGATCTCTTCACTGAAGTAAAAAATACACATAAAGAGACATTACACATTATATAGTTTACACAATATCTATAATTTAAAGGAATTTCTAATGGGACATTAATGGTGACAAAATTCATTTGCAATCTGAAAAGCATTAGGAAAACAGGCAAGACCTCAGTCCCCCATATAAAAAGTCCAACACTTTCTCTTCCATAACAATTTTATACATATGGATTTAATGTTTCTAAGAAAAGAACCAAATAAGCAAAACAAGACTTCTAACACAATTCATTTTACTGAAGAAAGATACCAAGTTCACATGCATAGCATGTCCCAGACTGTGCCAGTTCTCATGAAAAAAAGAAAAGCCATCAACCTCCTCCTCCCCTCAAAAGCCTAACACTCATACAGCATTCTGGGACTGCTTGTTTGGAGGCTGATGTTCAAGAATTATACTGCCTTAAGGCTAACAAAGATCACAATCTTCACTAATACAGCAAATACCTTTTGAGCTCTGGGCAGCCCAAAGGCTGCACAGACACAGTCAATATATTCCTGAGTCTGAACTAGCAGTGTTTCAATCAGGGCTCTATCTTGCTCCTCACGGAGTTTTAATAGCCTGGTTGTTGCTTTGCCTAAAACACTTCTAAAGCATTCCTGCTCATCTTAGACCACCAGCAGAGTACAGCTAAATTTATCTGCAAAACAATCTCAAAGAGACATTAAGTGTATTCAAATGTTGGACATTTTAAAAGACCATGACTAAGTGTTAAAAAACATATTTTCCATCTGAAAATAAAAAAGTGCAGAACTAGAATTCATCTACCTAATTACATATAACAGACCAATGAACTACATAAGAGTAATTAACACTGCTAGTTTCTTCAAATCAGAGCAAACAAGTAAACAAAAGTGCAGAACTAGATTTCATCTACCTAATTACATATAACTGATCAATAAACTACATAAGAGTAATTAACACTGCTAGTTTCTTCAAATCAGAGCAAACAAGTAAACTACCATAAGCATGGAACTGTTATTGTATTCTTTCCCACTAAGATGTCAGGTTATGGCTAAAAAAACCCCAACCACAACTTCACAAGAAGAGGGAATTCCACATTCATTCTTAAATACTCGTGTCATTAGAAATATACCTGTGCTGCTATCAAGTCAAACTCCAGAACTGAGCACAAAGAAAAACTTCATTGAGTTGCACCATTTAGATGAAAAACCTCTTGCAATTTAACAGTGCTACAAAACACCTTGTGGGACACCTCCTGCCACAGCAACAATATGGCCCACTTTCATCAGAAGTTCACAGTATTCTGAAAATCTTTCTGTGTTTTGGGTGGGGTTTTTTTTCACCTGAGGCAAATGCAGCAGGAGCATGTGACAGAGTCAACACGTAACAATCAGGTGCCACATAATTCATCTCCACAGACAGACTTTCATCAACACTTATATGCATGCATTTGTGAGCCTGTGCAGCAGCTCAGTGTGAGCTGGTTATTCCCAAGCTGACAGACAAAGGCACATGATCTTTTGGACTTCATATGGAAAGATGCACACAGAAAAAAGTTACAGGTCTGGTCAAGGTAATGGCCATTTTCTTCTTGTTTCCTAACACACAACTAAATACTCTTGTCTTAGTATCATCTTAATAGCAAGCAACCCATGCTGTTCTTGGTTTATAAGCTTTTGGTTTGTCATACTTTCACTGTATTCTGAGCACGCTGCAAGTTTTTTTACTGAAAACTTCATCAACTAAAAAAATACTACCTAGATTCTTGATTATCTTGTCAGATAATCAAGAAGACAGAAACTATGTCTCAAGTTTAAAAGTCTTTCTGTAAAAATACTTGTAACTTCATATTCTCCTAAGATTTTTCTCACATAAATTAACCAGTGCACAGAAGAAAAGCAATGGTCCAAATGCCTGGCAGCTGGCATTGCTTATTTCCAGACCATAATCAGAACATCTGCTTTAGTCACCACTGAAATAAAACCACTGATTTCAAAGCTGCATCTGAAAAAGGCATCATTTATATTCAGCTACCTCGTCTGAGCACTCGGTACTTCATCGGAACTTGGATTAGAGCTGAAGAACCTAGGATAAGAGTTTGACAGTTAGATTACTTCTTCTCATTTGCTTTTAATAAGTACTTAGTAGATTATTGACACATTACAGAATTGAACAATTATCTTCATTTTGCAGTTTAATATAGGCTCAGTATACCATATTGACAGTTTTCTTTTTTAACTTCATTGCTCTATGTCTCCCATTCCACTCCCCTTCTCCATCAACACAAAATACCAAACACACAAATGGCACAGAAACCAGAATACTCAATGCTTATTTGATTTTTAAGTGCTTTTCAAATTGGATACTTATTTTAATTATTTTAACTATTCAGTATCATTCTCAACAATCAACCTGTGTTCCAGGTATCCAACAAAAGCTTCTGGTCTAAATAGTAACAGCCTAAACACAGTCCCAGACACACAGTCCCAGTCATTAAACTACATCCTCTTTTACACAGGGGTCTGTATCTATTCCTAACCACTCAGAGTTCAAAGTCAATGTAAAGGTGTGCACCTACACTCCTGCTGGAATTTCTCCCTTGCTGCCCTCTCCCTCAAATCCACAGACACACACAAACCACTGTGCTTTAATGACATTGTCAGTGTTTTGTAAGTCACAACAATCAAGATTAAAATAAGGTGATACATTAATACTCATTTGATGGAAACAGTGAAAGTTACATTATTAATTTTTTTTTTGCACACATAACTCCTAATTTTGAAGTAAAAAACTTTTCTATAGTCATGGCAAATACAACACATTGCATTCATATTTTTTTTTCTTTCTGCATAAAACAGGGAATTAGGAGATAGTACCAAAGCTGTAAATCAAATAAAATCAAGGTTACAAACATTTTGCAAACAACTCTCCAGGATTAACATAAGGGAAGGGATATGGGAAAGCATATCTCCCTTGATTCCTTAAAATAAATTATGCATATTTTTTAGTTAAAAGCTTCAGAGTATCTGGTAGCAAGAAGATCTCCAGGCATTTTACAAGTACAACAATTACTTAATGTCAGAATTGTTCAGTTAGTGTCTGAAGCTCAAGTTAAGATTCCGGGTCCAACATGTGCAGACAACTTGGCCAAATGCTATATGATACAAACAGGCTTATGAGAAAAAGTGCTTTATTTAGTTTACTTCCAGGAACCAAGTGAATTTACAGAGAATTGCACTAGAAGCAGTTCTCAGCACATTCTGCCTTAACATGGTTAGAGTTTATAAATATGGTCAAACTAAAAATCAAGTTGTAGCTGCTTCTATCACCAAAGGTAGCAGATTGGGGGACTGCATTTTTTTTTAATTACAAAAAAGAAAAAGCATTAAGTAAAGATCATTGCTGCCTACAGATGTTTAACAAAGCAGTTTTGATCTTGAAGACTCTCCCATTCAGCAACAGCAGTTTTCCAGGCTAACATTCAATTCACAATTACTAGCCACATGGCTTTGTAATGTTATCAATAATGTATTTCTTAAGCATCTCAAAATCAAACCAAAATAGTACTTTCTCTAAAGCATACCAGATTGATCAATGAGCTGAAAATCAGCTGGTTGCCAGGCTCAAAGGGAAACAATCGACAAAGCAGCCACCTGGTGTCCAGTAAGCAGCAGAATCCCCCAAAGAGCAAATTCCAGGGCCCGCAAGGCCCAAGGATGCATCCCCAACCAGTTTATTGATGCTGGCATTCATAAAACACCCTCAGAAAATTCACAGGCAACAGTAATTTAGGGGATACAAGTGATGCCACAGCTTCAGCTGAGCAGGACCTTGGGAATACTGAGATACTGCACAGCAGAATATCTTATGCCCCATTAACTGGGACTTGCAAGGATGATTACTGTCACCCCTGCTCAGTTCAAGGGGGATGTAGAGAAAGCAGAGGGGGCCCAGCAAAATGGCTACCACAACAAACAATCCAGTGCAAATAATTTATGAGAACTAGTTTGGGAGCTGGATTCTTTTGACTGGTGGAGAATTAAGAGCAGACACAATAGCATGGATACCTGAACAGCAGCTACAAAATGCCAGCCCGGTGGGAACATGGCAAAAGCATTAAAAAGTACCAGCCAGGAAGAGTTAATTCAGGTGCAAAGATTAGATATTAAGATAAAATTCCTCTTTGAACAGAGGAGCAACTGCAGACTCATTAAACACAGGCAGAAGACTCTGCCTGTGAAGATTCAAGGATTCAGCAAGTAAGCGATGATCCAGCACTGGCTGTAGTCTTGCTTCAACCAGAAAATTAGGAAATCACCTAATCATTCTCAGGAAATTTCTTACACCTGATGATTTTATTCAGTAAGAACTATTTTCCAAATACTAGCTATGTACATGAACAAACAAAAAAGCCCTCCCCAAAAAACCCTTTCCTTTCAATATTCAATTACAGAGTGCTGAACACATAAAAGGTGGAGAACAAAGAAACATATGTTTATGTATTTGTAATGCACACACATTCCTAATGACTGCCAGAAATGTAACAGCCATGTTTCAAAACAAAAGGGCAGTTTCAGACACTGTCAATTCAGTTACTCAGCAGCAACAAGGATGTCCCAAGCTCAGCACCAGATTCCCTTCTGAGAACAAAGGGGAAGGGCACAAAGACGCCAGATTCCACCATGTAGAGGAACTCCCCAAGAGAAAAGCAGTAAGGGTGTTGAAATAGTATTCCACCTTATACTTCTATTATTATGGCTTCTGAAACATTTTCTCTTCTACTCTGCAAGTCAGAATAGAACTTCCAGGCTTTTCCTTTGAAGACTCAACAGTAGATATACGTCCAAAAAACACATCCTTATCCATGTTTAACAGACACGGAGCATGGAGGGACATGTTAAAACATATCAATTTCTTAACATATTAAGCTGAAATGCTGATCAGAATACTGGTAAGTTTATCATTGGTGAACACAAGGCAGAATCCACCACATTTGTGCCTTCACTGGAGGAAGAACTTGTCTTCAGTGCTGTTTTGTAACTGCAGCTTATCTTCAGACTGGATTCCTCTCCTCAACTCCATGTTTTACAGAACAACCATAATGAAGCTTTTTTGCTCATGGTGCAATTTACAGGTCTAAAGTTGAAGGGTATAGATGCAGACTAGTAGATCCAGCAGCTAAAAACATACAACATCCCTTATTACACTTCTCGTTTGTATTGCTGCAAGAGCAGGAAAAGCTACCTCTACATCATACTGTAATGTGTGAAAAATCCATAGGCTGTACAACAAAATTCATTAATCCACTCCCCTGTGTCATATGCATTTCACCAACAAAGCCAGGCAGCCTATAAAGGGCTTTAACAGGGCTTATACTCTGCATTATGTCTCTTGCCTGAGCTAATAGTAGCAAACCACTGCATTTTACTACTGCCCAGTAAATGTTTGCCTATCTGTATATTGGCATTACCCCATCATTTAGTGCCTCTTGCTCAAAGCAAAAAGCTTTCAAAATTTTTCTATTTTGGCCAATAGACCCCAAGAGGGGGAAAAAAAATGTTCTTTCCTTATCCCTGAATACATGGGCAACTGCCTTAAAAAGAGCTGAAAGAAGTATTCCATCTCTCCAATTACATCACCGTACAAAGGATGCACATGACTGAAATTCATGTACTCAGGTGTGCTTTACTTAACACTCTTGGTAAAGTCTCAGAACTTCAGCATCTTCTATTTCCACATCTTCCATTATGTTGCTTTCCTATGAACTGCTGAAGAGGGAAAAAAAACCCCAAGCCAAAACAACCCAAGATGCCCAATTCTGTCATTACCACAAAAAGAGCTTGTGGATTCTTTTTTCATATGGAAGCTCACAGGGTAATGTGATGAAGAAAGTCACCTTTCTTACAGGAAGTGGAACTCCTCCAAAAACAAACATCCAGAATCAGATGCATTTCCTCACTTAATTGACTTGGAGTCAACATAGTTGTGAAGTCACACAGGTTACATACACTCAACCACTTCTGGATTATCAAGTAACTTTTGGTAGGTTCAGAAAGGACACATGGCATATCCCATTTGGAAACACTCAGAACCCAAATACTTTGTCTTTTTAAATTTTGGGTTACAAATAGCAGGTGTTCGGTTTACAAGGGAGGTGTTCTCCCTACTGACAAAAGAACTTTCTTTAGTTCTGCAGCAAGGAAGAAAATGGAAGTATTGGTGTAAAACATTATAAATATGTCAAGCCTCATCCTCTGAAGTACCTTCTCCTTTTTAGACAGTGCACATTTCAGATATTTGTCAGGTATCATCCCAAATTATTTCCAAGAAAACTCATCCTTCACTTTGACAACATTTTTTTCCTGGCTCTTTGAACTCCAGCTCTGTGAACATGCTGTCACATTTCAATCTCACTGGAATATTTCATAGCATGAACATTAGAACAAGATTGCAGATCCAGCAACAACAAAAGCATCTCATTAATTTATATACTGAAATTAAATTAGATTCATAGTTTACATAGTGCACCTAATTTTAAAAAAATCCATACTTTCCATGCTCATTCACAAAACTTTACTACTAAATTTAATAATTTTTGTTCATGCATACCTCATAGGTCTACAAACACAAAAAAAAACCCCAAACAGCTATTTAAAATGAAAAAGGCTAGAAAAATTCATAATTATTCTTTCATATCAGTGACAGAGCACAAGGAATTTACTGGGTCTGCTGGACCTTGAAGGAGGATTATTTATGTAATTGGTAATATGTCCATGGGAGAGTTCAAGAAGTTCTACATACATATTGACTACATAATTCTGTGTTGTACTTCCCAACATCTCTGAGAAGTTACTTAAGAAAAAAGCTTTTCTACTTGAAAAAAAAAACCCTGAAGTAGCACAACTGAAACATACAAATAAATTTCATCAGACCAAATTTCAACCTCTTTGAACAAATAAACCCTACCAGTGGCTTGCAAATTGACCTTCCACATCTTGACCTTCAGTGAAGCAGAATGCGAATGCAATAGACAGAGTACAATAAAGGAGACATCAATAGTATTAATAATAGTTTTTTATTAGACATAAGTTTCTGATCACTTCAAAATGATTTCTGAGGCAGAGAACTTTCTGGATAAAAGCATATCTTGCAATGCTTCTGACATGTGGTACCCTGTGATGTTGAGACTCCTCCAGAAGTCACAGCTAACTTGCTTACCAAAGCTTCTAAATTCTCCACTTTATTAATTAGGCATTTTGACTTCTTGTTCTGCAGGACACCTCCCAGTTGAAAGATTCCAAGTCATGACATTTCCAAAGATCCAGTACTTGTAGCATGCAGACATTCTTAACCCAAGGATTAATTCTTAATTCTCCATGGAACATGGAGACTGTAGTACATACAGCACTGTTACCTAAAGCCACAGGTCTTTGCAACAGGCTCCTGCACTGCACCACTCTTTTCACAGTCTTGCTGCCACAACTTCTGTCCTCTTATTCAAGTCATGATTTCTGCCACATGCATCCCATACATTATTCCTCCAAAATCAGATTTTATGATCTTGAAGAAAGAACCTCATCACTTAATGAGTATTATTTTTAATGATAATTTCTGATGAAATTCAAAGAAATCTGTATAAAGTGTCTTGCGCTAAAAGCCCTTGACCAGAGCCACACAAATCTGTTCTTGTTGCTGAGGTGTAAATACAATTTTGTAGTGCTTGAATCCATTGGACTTTGAAAAGACTTGAAAGTTTTCACAACTCCTCAAATTCTGTCAGAGAACTTTGTTACCATACAGCAGTCACAGGAGCCGAGGCAAAATCCCGTAACTGCTCTCATTCTTGAACAACATGTCTTGCACTAAACAAAACCCCGAGAGCAGCTAATGAAGCTCAGTCTCTTAGGAAAGGGCCTCTGACCAGCATTTTCCCAGATCTTTCCTGTGTGTTGATTCTTCAGGGTCCAGTAAGTGGTGAGCTCAGCCTGCAGCACTTCCCTCCATACAGGACTGACACCGTCACTCTTCCCTGTGCAGATGTGTATCTTCAGGCACCTCTGATCAACTTGGTTCAAAAAGGCTGAGAGGTTCAAAAGACACTGGGGAACAGATGATAAAGGTGGAATGTAAGCCTTGTTTCTTGAGAGAACAGGCTAAGAAGTAGAAGGCTTGTTTCTTGTATGACTGACTATAACGATTCTGGTTTTTTAATAATATCATTGATTTTTATCAGTACTCCCACATCTACTTATACCTCTGCTTCCTGTATGTCCTCATAAGTAGCTTTACAACAAGATTTTCATTTCCACTGTGAGCTAGGTATACACCACATTTCCAACCTTTTGCCACAACTCTTACTTTCATTGACAGTCTGGATTTACATTCTCAGTTTCTGGGGGAAAAGACACCCCAACAACTGAATTCACTTTGAATACATCTTTTCTCCTCCAAGTCCTCTACAATAAAGAGAGGAACAACATTCCTGTGATGCAGCCAAGCAGCTTCAGCAATGGTAGAGCTGCATCTGCAACAGTGCTGTGCTAGCCTGCTGATTTAGCTTCTTAGCACTCTGCCTGAAGCTCAGCAGTGAGTGCATCAAGCTGGCAGACAAGTGGGAGACAGTTTAGCCCGAGAAGGTGAGAAAGTAAAACACTGACTATACATCCCTCCACTGGACAGATATATTAATATGTGAAAAGGCATAAGTAAGGTTTCATACTGTAAACCAATTCTTTGCTCAGCAGTTCACTAGACAAATCTCAGAAGAATGGTCAGCATATAAAGAGAAACACAGTTAGAGACATATGAATTAGCAAATGCAAATACCTGAACTATTAGAAAAGCAACAAAACAGTAAATCCACAAGCAATAGCTATCCTAGGAGGCTGGAAGAAAAAAGTATTATACTTACAATAGACATTCCTGCGTCTCAGGGCTTTCTCTTGCTTTAATTATGAAGATGCAAGTCATCCCAAAATAGAATAAGAGAAATAAATTAATGTGCTGCATCATTCGAAGGAAAAACCCCGCACTTCCAGAGACGCTTTTGCAGATTAATTGCATTACAGGCCAAAGTTTCCATTGTCAAACAGGAAAAATTAGAGCCTTTATGACTGTCTGCAAAAGCTAGAAGTACTGACAAAACTGTACTTACAGTTAACACAAGGTTACTTTCAAGAAAGCCCTGTTATTTAGTGAAGTTTTAAGGGATGATTATGGCTTGAAATACATCTGAAGGATGCCAGGAAAACCTAAAGTATGATTACAGCTCCTAAGCTCTCAAAGTGTAGTTCCAACCACAACAACAACCACATTAAAAAAAAAAAAAAAAAGAAATCTTACCCCAAAAGGAAAACTAACTGAAAGCAGCCCCCCCCCACCATTTTGAGTGGATTTGGTTAAACCTTAAGGCTAGCCAAATCTCAGGAAAGATCATTCATATCATGAAGAACAGGAAAAGTATCTTTCACTGGCTGAATCCAGAACAGATGATTGCTTTTTGGCAGAATCTAAAGAAAAGAGGAACTTAAATTTCCAGTTAATAGCTAAAGCAATCCTGACTCATTTTGACAATTTTCTGGCAAGTAAACATAAACTTGTCATTTACAAGAATGGAACAATAAGTGTGATCATTCTACCACTACAGCAGCTGTCTGTCCAGAGCAGTCCATGGAGTTAGGAGCTGTATTTTCAATATTCAGTGGCATGGAAGAGATGCTGGACATGGGTGTGGCAATTCAACAGGAAGCAAGACTGATACAATAGTTAATTGTCTGAGAAGCTGAATAGCTGTAATTTTGTGGCATTTATAAAATAAGGAAGTTACCTAAGTCTTGGTATTGCCACAGGCAGCGGATGGTGTTGTATAAATTCAGCAGGATTTCATAAGCTTAGAAATACAGACACAGTGTTCCTCACAGTGATGCTGTTCCAAGTGCTTTTGTTACTTATTCTTCAGTTTTACAACAAACAGCTGCTAATATCAAGTTTTTCAGACAAACACAGAAAACATTAGCAACTGTGAGCTGCTGCTCAAAGAGAATTTCCTCCTGACTATTTTCAGACAATCACCTTTGACTGCACCTGGTTTACTGCTTTTGTTAACATCAGAAATGCAGTTTCACAACTGAAGCCAAAGGGTCCATTTTACTTGTGATCCCTGCTACTAGATCAGGAATTAAGATTCTCACACATTAGGTAAGAAACTTATTCTCTGTTCTGGTTCAGGGATTGCAACAGCTGTTTTTGAGCTAAGGCTGTGAAAAGTTAGAGTAACTTTTGGCAAAGTGTCTAACTTTGAGAAGCCAAAACTCAAAAACTACTGGTTTTAAGGGTTCAGACCTTCCATGCACATCTGTACGAGCTACTGTAGAAAGTAGTTGAAGTTCACAGGTTATTTAACAGAACAGTTTCAAGTACATAGTTAAGTATTACAAGAATATAACTTATTTTTTCTTAAACATATACAATCTTGAAATATATCAGTTAGATACATTTCTAACTGATATATCAGATATATTAACTCATTTCCATGCATGCAAGAATATGCATGGAAATTCAACTTAATTCTTCAAGTTCATAATAAGCAAATCAAGTTTTGGGGTTTTGTTTGTCTTCTGCTTGGTTTTTCCCCTCAAAAGGAAATCTCCACAATTAAAGTTTCTCTGGATCACAAAGATATGCTGCAGAACACAACAGCATGCTTTCTGGGACCAAATACAAACAAGGCAACAGCAAGGTAAATGTCCTGAAACTAGCTATGTTAGCATTCCTAGTATCAACACAAATATGTATGACTGGAATGTTTAAACAGCAATGGTTGATTTTACTATCACAAAAAGGACAGAAAAGTTGACTGCACATCAGGTATTTCAACCACAGGTTGAAATTGCACAGCAATCAAAGGCAAGAGGTAGAAGAAATGAGAACACTGAAATGGTGAAGACAAAGGCTAACAGCTCACTTCACAGATTTTAACATTCCTTATTTCTAAAGAGCCTGTAGAGTCTTGAATACAGATTTTGCTCCTTTTGGGACATGACAGGCATTTCTACCTAACTCCAGACTTGAAAAGAGAGCAAGGAAACTTGAATCTCTGATAGAACCAGAACAATCTTCATCTGTGTTCTAAACACAGTCCACTCTAACTCCAGACTTGAAAAGAGAGCAAGGGAACTTGAATTTCTGATAGAACCAGAACAATCTTCATCTGTGTTCTAAACACAGTCCACAAAATAAACAATGCTCTTCACTGATGCCACACCTGCAAAGGGTTGATCAAAACACATCCAAAAAAAAGATGTTCCACTCTAGGACTTCCCTAGCAAACTGAGCTATAACACTAAAGCATACTTACCAAACCAGAATAAATTATATCACATACCACCATATTCTAGGTATATACACTGCAGGTGTATTTTATTTGGTTTTTTTTTATGTGTTTTGATCAACCCTTTGCAGATGTTCCACTCTAGGATTTCCCTAGCAAACTGAGCTAAACACTAAAGCATACTTACAAAACCAGAATAAGTTATATCACATACCACCATATTCTAGGTATATACACTGCAGGTGTATTTTATTTGGAGACCCTTGTCCCAAAAAACCTAGATTTTTCCTCAGCTGTGGAAAAAAACCAAAAAGGCCAAACCAACCCATTTTTCATGCATAATATCCCCCACTACTCTCACAGGCTTGGTTAAATTAAAAACATTAGTAAACTTTTATATAAATGTTATTTCCTAAACATTTTAGTATAATGGCTAAAACTAAAATTCAACTGTTTTTCAAAGTACCCAATACCAGCCAAGTTCAATTTTCAGAGCCATGAATTATACACACATGTATGAATATCTTGGCTAATTCACTTTCTACAACTCGCCATCCCACTAATACCTGTTGTGCAATGAAGCCACAAACCCCATCATTATGCTACTATACAGAGGTGACACAGCACTCAATGCACAAGATACACACAGCCTTGTACTGTGATCATCCCAGCCACACAATCCTTTGGCCTTCAGCACCTCTCTGACAAGGGTCTGGCCTTATGAACTAACAGCACTAGAAAAAATAAAGAGATAAAACAAAGGTATGCAGAAACAACCTAAATAAATATCTTATTTACCTATTCAAAATCCAGAATAACCAAACTCCCCAGATGGAAAAAAAGAAAAAAAGAGATAAGATAGCCATGTACATTGAAGGTCAACTGAAGTATTCCCAAAAATCTGTCAGACAGCCAAGCTTTACTGCAGTTATTCAAAATAACACATTCAACAGCTATAGGAAACACAGGCCAATTTCAGATATGTACCACCTGTTTACATTTTTTTCTTAATGACTGTCCCTCTGCTGAAAGGCTTTTTCTTGCATTTTGGAACACTTTCCAAAGTGCAAAGCAGCAAACAAGCAGAGTATCTTTCACAAAGCCACTTTAAAAACAAATGTGCAACTGATATAAAAAAGACAATCTAACTGAAATCATAACAAATGATTGGTCAGGCTAGTACTGTGCTTTAGGAAAATAATTACTACCTTCTCTTCATTTTGTTGTGTTGTCAGGACATCCTTTGGTATTATTTTGAACAAAAATTCCTCCAATAGGAACAAACTAAGAGCTATTCACTATCTACACCCACCGTGCATTAAAAAGAAACATAGGCTCAGGACTTTTATAGTTATTCCAAACCTAGTGGTACAAAACCCTTAATCTATGAGTTCTCATTTTTCTCCACCAAAGCACACAACAGATTTCATAATTTAAAGAAAGAAATTGGAGTTAACTGAAAAGAATGATGATGTGAGCTTGGAGAGTTACTCTACAGCAATGCAGCTGGGTGACTGACCACGACTCCATACCCAACAAAAATCCAGTTTTCAATCTGACCTACTCTTGTGTCAGTGAGGTCTTTGAGCTGAGAGAGAACAAGAAACTGGGAGATTGAGCCCAGCATACATCCAAGTGTGAAACAGAAGGAAAACTACATGCAGATTTTCTAAGAAAATAAATGCTGGGTTTCCTACTTTTGAAGGGAAAACCGGCAATAATTAGATTGCTAAGAAGGTTAGCTAAGGAAAAAAAACCACCAACCACAAAAGCAAAGGAATTCTTTGCATCAACAGGAACATTTGGTAGGACACGAAAAATACAACTGTACATTTCTACTCAATCAATGGAGAACAAAAAGACTCAATCCTGTGGAGAAAAAAAAGGGGCTGGAGAAAGGAGAACCACTGACTCAAATAAGAACCAATGCTATTAAAGTGATCAGCAAACAGGTAACAGAATACCATTAATCTGTCTCAATAGCAAAGAGATGGGGAGATGTCCCCCCTCATTCCCCAAAAAAAAATAAGAGAGCACAGCAACACTTGAGAAAGACAGTTTTGCTGTTAGTTGCTAACGTTCCAGGAACAATAAAGTGTCATTACATTAAGAAAACATCAGAGCAGGCTCTTCAGTGCCACAACACAATCTGATGGCAGCAAAGGAATACAGACAACTGAGTTAGCCTCACCTTTACAGACTGAGAATGTGGTGGAATTTTAACCATCAGCCAACAGACTCAACAGCCAAAGGTTCGGTCACTCAGCATTTGTAAAAGCCTCGTCTCTAAATACACCCTCACAGAACGGTGCCTAATTTTTTAAAGCCTGTGATTGTTTTGTGCTTAAACCAGGGAGCTGCTATTACTGACACTTCAAAGCAACAGAAGTGCCAGACTTGATAGTTACCCTATGTAACTCCTTCAGGAAATCCGAACTGGTGTTACTATCAAAGTAAAGAGTAAGCTCATTTTATTCAAAGTACAGGTGAGTTATGTAGACTTGGAAGACAGAACAGTATTTCACCAACTACATCCAAAAACAAAAAATTGAATTCTTTCACCACTTGTGGCCCTCATGTCATTAATTTCACAATTAGCACACATTTACCTTTAGGTATGGCTGACGTTTCAGGTTACATGCTGCACAAAGCAGAGTTGTGAGATTCCCACCTCATCTTTTTCTTGGAATATTTCAAGCAAATTACTGTTACAAATCCACCAATAAATTAGATAAGCACTTGAAGCCGTGTGAAATCAGGTACTGAACTTGCAAGAGTCCTGGATTTATGATTAAATCTGCATGTACATTTAATATGGAAAAAGTTTACCTTCCTATGCTTTGCACCACGGTAGTGTGACTGAAGACTGAGAGCACACATACAGTAAATTTTACAAACCTGAAAGAGAAACATTGAAAGCACATCTTCAGTTATGCTACGAATATTCTGCCATTGGTGAATTATAAATATGAAATACACCCGTTCCTACAGTGTAATTCTGTAATTCTCAAGGTCTTATTTGGCTCAAACAGTACAGTTTGCATGAATTTTAGGAGAGCAGCTTACCACTAAAATAGTATGTAAACCTGTTCAAACAATACCTAAACAGACGTTTAAATAAATAAATCAGGTGGTAAGAAGTTTTTACAAGTCTCCCCCTTCTCTGCCACCAGCACTTTCTGAATTCTTAGTTTTCTAAAGTTCTCCAAGCTGGAAAGCCAGCAAAAAGGGGATGGTCGTGCAGTGACTAGAAAGGAACAGAGGCAAAATTACGCCCTAGAACAGCTGCAGCTCCGTTCATTGTTCATTCACAGCTACGTTAAAGGGATCCCAATGGAGGAAGACACATGCATCTCATTAAGATCCACAGACGCGCATACACCATTGCAATAATTAACAGAAGACAATACAGATGTACAAATATTTCTTACCATCTTTAGCTTTGAAGAAAGCTAAAGGTGGTAAGAAATATGCGTGCTAGTACGGTCTGTTTCCTTTCCGTACTGTCGCAGAACTTGAGAGAGCCAGAAAAACCATCCAGCGCTACAAAAGCACTACAGCCCTGGCGACCTGAGCGCGTTCCGACCCGGAGCTGCGGCTTCCAGAGACAAGGGAGCCTTTGCGGCCGCCCCGCAAAGCCTGGCAAGGCTGCGAGTGAGAACCACTCCCTGGCGGCTCCAGCCCGGCCTGGACTCCCCGAAGGCAGCTCTTCCCCGCACAGCCCCCCGGCTCCCGGCTCCCACGGCCGGCTCCCGGTGCTCCCACACCTCCAGAGCCCGCCCGGGCTCAAACCCCACCGAGGACGCCACTCACATCGCAGTAGAAGAGTTTTTTCTCCGGCTCCGCTTTGCCGTCTTCTGCCTGAACTTCCTCCGGCTCCGCGCTCATCCTGCACGGCCGGGGGGAAAAAAATATAAAAAAATAAAACAATAAAATAAAACCAACTCTTGTTCACACGGTGCTTAACAGCGACCGGGCAGGGCCCACACCTCGGGCGGCAGGGCTGGGTTACTATCTGGCTATTTAAGCGCTATTGTTTTATTCCGCGGATCAATGCTCAGCTCCCACCGCGGCGCTGCCCCGAACCATCCGGGAGCTCGCGCCCACCGCGCCCCCCACAGCGCTCGTCACTTCCGTCCGTGCCGCAGCCACGCCCCCAGGCCGGCGGCCATTGGCGGGCAGCCAGCCTCTCGCCTCGCCCAATGGGGAGCCAGCGTCGTGCCGCGCGCCTGGCAGCAGGCCACGCCCCCATGCTCAGGCCACGCCCCCTCCCCGGCCTGGCTCCCCCTGGCGGGAGGGAGGAACCGGGAGCGGCCGCTGGGAACGGGCCGGGAGGGATGGTGGGCCGGTCCAGGGGGAACCCCGGGAGCCGTTCCCGAGAGGATGCTGGGACCAGTTCAGGGGAATACTGGTCCTTGTTGAGGCCAAGAGAGGCTACTGGGACCAGTTCAGACCGGTTTGGGTGCCTGGACCTCTTTAGGATGGACACTGGGACCAGTTCAGGCTGGGCGTGGGTACTGGGACAAATCCAGGAGGGGGCCGGGTGGGCAGTGCTGGGACAAGTTCAGAGGGAATGCTGGAAGCAGTCGAGGCCAGGGAGTGCTGGGCGTTCCTGGGCCCCTAAGGGGAAGGGGCAAGAAACACAGCAGCAGCGGCTTTAATTTAAATGCAAACATTTTATTTTAAAATGTCTCGGCTTTACGCTTCTGCCTGGTAATAAATGTAAAATATAATTTAAGAAGTACGCTTAAAAGTTCCTTCTAAAAGCAGGCTGAGGAGACAGTACAGGACACAACAGAAAAGTGCACCGGGTTCAAACAACATGCCAGAACGTCAGATCCACAGGTCACTGCCTGCTGTGAACCAGCCCCAATTCCTTTTGCAGGTGTATCAGTGATATACCATGGCACCCGGGGTACTCCTGTGCATCTGCTGCTCATCTCCCCAGATGGGCAGCACTCGTGCCTCTGTCTTGTGCCCCAGTGCAGGCGTGACCTGCATCGTGTGGTACATTTCCAAATGGTGTGGGGTGGTTGCAGTGTTCTCTCCAGAAATACACTCTCCCCAGAAGGGTTTTGGGGAATAATGGAGTGCCAGATAGGCCAAAACTGTTTGTAGATCTCCATGCTACTGTTTGTTAATCATAGAACCATAGAATGGTTTGGGTTGGAAGGGGTCTTAAAGATGATCCAGTTCCAATCCCCGTGCCATGGGCAGGGACACCTTCCACCAGACCAGATTGCTTAGAATTAGTCTTGTCCTCCACTTCAGGAGAAGCAGGAATGGCACTTTTAATCCTGGACTGTAAGTGGAGTGTAATGGCACATTATACCCCTTTGGTGATGATGTTTTTGGTACCTGGACATTTCTGTAACAGTCAGTCTTTTACAGGGAGTCACATTAAAATGCTTGATCATTATTTGTGGTTCTAATCTCAAAATCTAAAATGGACTAATTGAAAACACCCTACTGTACATGTTATGTAATGCTTCCATACCCTTCTTAATTAAAAAAAATAAATTAAAAATTGCAAATTAAAAATGCAGTTGCACAGTGAAAGAATAAACATGTAGAAAAAAATAAAAGAAGCAAAAAATGAGAAAATTAATTCCTTGATTTTTTGAAAGCGAGACCATATCTAAGGAAAAAAGGATTTGGCATTACATGTATACTTTGCAGCACTAAACTGTTGGTGGCAGCTGGGGTTTCCTGGCAGTACAGACTCCTGAAAAGAGGATGTTTCACCAGCAGAGTGACCTTTTTTCTGGTTTTGGGGATACAGCTGTTATCAATAAGTACCTCCATTCTTATTAAAGAGCAGGGAGAAATGAGGGATTGCACTTCTGCCTAACACTGTTCTTGTGGCAAAACTTTTGAAGTATGCCTAAAGTAGAAATAAAGCTACAGATACAGAAAACAGAAAGGACGGAGACCAAAATGTACCACCCTGTGCAATCAAAAAGGTGGAAAAGGTAGAGGAGGAAAAGGGAATTGCCTTTAAGGAAGAAAGTGTTCTTTGGTTTTGTTAAGAGGGAATTCAGGGAGGAGAGGGTGTGAGGAAGAACCCTTTCGGAAGAGGGAAGTTTGTTGACCGTGCAGAGGAAGAATCTTCTTAGCTGTAGTGAGAGTAGAAACAAAACTGAATACTGTTACTGAGAACTGAGATAACTTTTGCCTTTTTGAAGTTCTTTCTAGAAAGACAAAATTAAAACAAAAAAAAACCTACAACAGTTGATGCTTGCCTCTCCTCATTTCACATTTTAAATCAACACGGGGAGGATACACATGGTTCAAAACCTTAAAAAAAAAAAGTGAAGGACAAAAAAGAAGTTCAGAAGGGAGAGCTCACACCCTCCTGTGGTGCAAAATTAGGAGCTCTAGAACAGAACTTCACCAGATTTTTTTAAAATGCCTTTTAGTTGCTGAAATACAATTAATAAGACTAGCCAAGCAGCTGATGATCTTTCTATTGCTTTCTGCCACGTCTTTGTTTACCATAATTCTACCACTACAAATATGAACATGGAGCTGTCCCTTGAGCTCTGTTGCATCAAGGAAATCTTTAAAAACTTCAGACTGCATAATTAGAGCATCAAGTGCACAATTCCCAGCAGCAAGAGAGTTAATGCACACACTGAATTTGCCACAGTTTGGGAAAGTAGCCCCAGGAAAGGAGCAGGAGCACTTCATGCCTCCTAGAATGATGTTTTCAGTCTGGTTGAGAAATGCATCTTAGCATTGAAGTTACTCAATCCTTGTTTTCAAGAAATTATTTTTAACCTGAAAAGTTACAGAATCAGTTCCACGGAAGAAAAAAGAGGATGTGATTTCAGACCACAGAATTTTTCTGTGGATGAAAAATTAATGCTACAGTCACAGAATAATTACACCTTGATGGCATTATATCTTTTCTCTTCCCAAAATTTGTCTTTTTTTTTTTCACTTTCCTTCCAAACTACAACTCAAAGAACATCTTTGCCTAAGCACAAGCAAGTGCTTGGATCTCCAGATGTTTGGGTTGGTTTTTTTAAAAGGACTTTGTGTGTTTATGATGACTTTGTTCAGAGGCATTTCTGATAGCACGACAGGGAAATGTAATGACAAGAACAAATTGACAAGAACACGCCAGATGCCCCTGAAAAGTGACAAAGATCTGTTTGTCAGGGTGGTAGTGCCTGTGAACGTTAGCTACTGGGTGCAGCCCTTTGTATGAATCTCCTTCAAGTGGACAAAATTTTGTGACTGCATCCTGAGTGTGGCCACCTGCACAATCTCCTGCCCTCTACATGTTGCAGCACCTCTTTCAGTTGTGACCCACAATTTCTCATAGGGCTTGGCTAGATTTAAAAGAAAATTCTCCTGAAGACAAAAAAAGAAACTCCTGTTCTAGTGAGAAACTTTCTACAGTCTAGTTTAGATTTAGGATCTTTGTCTCAGTATGATAAGAAAAGTATTTCCATTTTGAGTGTTTACACCCTAAGAGAGTAGAGAGAAAGAGAGAAAACGAGCAGATAGAGAAGACAAGAAGAAATAGAATGTGTCTACACCCCTGTCATTCTGAGGCTGGTTTTCTTGGTTAGGTGACACTGAAATGAAAGAAAATAAGTTTGTTAATTTTTTTAACACTACCTAAGGCAATATATGTATTCATACGTAGGGGAAATTATGGCTTTTAACTATTTTAATTAAAACCTAACACCTTGTTATGACAAAATAATGGGTTTCCTGAAATAACTACAGTGGGTGAGGCTGTCCTATTAAGTTCCAGTATGGCTTCAACAGAAAGAGTTAAGAAAAGCTTCTAGGCAGCAGAAGCTGATCCTATCCCACAGAATATTCCTTGCTTCAGCTTCTTTCTTCTGAAGTAATGTAAGCGTTAGCAATTTCCAGAAGAATTGCACATGCCTATCTCAATACTATATCAAAGGATCAGAACCCAAAGTCTTACTGAACTGACTGATGTTTGAATGTCAGACTACCCTGTACTGTCCAGAGCAGACTCAGATGTAAGCACTTTAAGAATATATGACTGTTCCAATAAAAGGTGGCTAAACCAGAGACTTAAACTTTGCATTAATATGTTACAATCAAAGAGTAGGAAGTTAGTCTTTCCTACAGTGAATTTAGGTAGAGTCCCTTAATCTTTCACTTCCCTTGTTAAATCTCCGAACCCAGGGTAACTGAAACAAGCTTACCACTCACACAGTGCTGCCCTCACTCAGAACTTTTGAAATTAAGCTTTACTTTGGTATCCAAAGACTTTAACATCAATGTAAATTATTTATAGTGTTACCTTCAGTGGAGGTCTGCCCCAGTTTCAGTCACTATTTAAGTGCCGGAAAATCTACTCTTTTTGGTGTTCAAGCTTACCCCTAGCTTAAATCAAGTTGTTTCTCAGTAAAAGTAGTAGCTTTCAATGGTGTTGGACTAGCATTTGTATGGTGCTCAGCAGCTGTGCACTGGCAGCTGAAATCAGGTCACATTCTCAGCAAAGTCAAAACCTCCATCAGCAGCTTTAGCACTGATAATAGTCTCTGCTCCATGTGGACCAAGTAACATCCCAGGGGGTGACACCTTCTCACAACATTTAGAACTGCTCACCTTCCATACTAAGATATACCCTCCCCAAAGATCAGAGAATTCATGAGTCCATTCTGTCTCAACCTCTGGAGGGTTTATGGCTGAGGACATTTGAATGCTATTATCAGCAAGGCATTTCTTTCAGCCTGAGTGCTCCAAGTTCCTATTAGGCAACCATTTGACTAGGCAATTCTTCTACAAGAATAATTTTTTATTGTTGCTACAATAAATGCATTGGAAAGCTCCTAAAATAGACTTTAGGGCTGTGCTGAAGGGACACAAATACCAGTTCATTAAGGCTAAAAGCTAAACACCAGTGACTGAAAAGATCCTAAACCCTACTTCTCAGTACTAGTTTTTAGAATAATACCAAAGCAGCAACAACCACTAAGAAAATGTAACCATTTTAAAGAACTGCTCTGTCTTTCATCCCATTTACTGGTCAGTGCCAGGGGGTCATTAATGTCCGCACACAAAAAGGGTGTATAAGATTAAATCTGTGGTCATTTATCAGGCTACAGTGCAATGTCAGGTTTCAGTCACTTGATCCAGAGCACATATCAGGTGTTGAAGGCAGATCTATGCCTTAAACACAAATGGCAAGAGATTATTTTAAGCATTTATTTCCTCTGTTCTTTCTAAGTACTTAGAAGGAACTGGTCTTTGTTTACTACCAACAATGGTTAGCAATTGTCCAAAAAGAGGATAAACTGCTGATCTCTTCATAAGCCTCGTTCTTGGGAGATTGCTGTACTGCATGGGTGACAGTTTAGACTGGAAATAATTCTACTGATACCACATTTTTTCATGTGAGACCTGAAATAAGAACTCATCCACAAATTAAGTGGGCCAAAATAAAATGTGATGCACAGGATAAGTGTATTTTTCTTGGCTTCAGACTTTGTGGAATAACAAGGAAACAAACATGACTGCATTTACACAGCAGGAGTCAGAAGGTGACATCTCACTTTTGAGTCACACATTCTTCCATCCACCTAGAAGCCCATTACATCTCATGTGTCAGATTGCATTCCCTTACATGCAGAAGCTTCGCCTACCACTATGATATTGATCAAGATGTGTAAAATGTGTCTGGGTTTGTTGGAAACATGAGAAAAATAATTCCAACTGATATGTGCCAGGAAAGTCTGAGAGAAGATAGATTTATGTCAACAAGAAAATAATTAATTTTGTAACAGGGAGAACTTTAGAGAATTTCCATTATTAGTACAAATTACTTCTGCACTCAGAGACCTGGCTGATACAGTCACAGCAGGTGGTATTTCTAAGCACAGACAAGGCTTTTGGTGACACGGTCCTCTACAGAGTTGCACCTAGTGTAACCACTCCCATTGTGCAAAATGGCATCAGCATGTCCAGATGAAGATGGAAGTGTTTTACAGTCACACTTCATCAATGCAAATGATGTGAGAAAGTGTAAGGCAGTCTGAAACCAAGCCCAGGTACTCTCATTCAGAGGGGTGTGACAGTGATTCCAAGTGTGGAATTGAACAAGCAGCTTGTCAGAGGTCATGCAGGTGTGTTCTCCACTTGCCCCCAGCCATGGGCTCCCACACTACCCTGTCTCCCCATCACCTGGTTTCTGCCAGGCAGCTGCACAAGGAGCTGGACCGGAGAATATTGCAGGGTTCATAGCGCAGCCCTAGGAACAGCTCTGAGGCACACAGTCGTGTCTGGCACCAGCACAGTTCTCCAGTGCCACTGCTGCACGCCAAGCAAAGGACCATGACAGCAACTCTGTGAGGGTCTAAAGAACTGCTGCTTGTAACCATGCAGATAGTGAATCAGTGAGGCAGAGGTTGTGCAGCGACACTGATTTATGGCAGTCTCACTCTGCATGAGGAATAAGTTTGCTTGCCCACAAGAATTTTTGAGTTTGGCTTGAGTTTATGTGATGTGGACAGTGGTGTACTGGAGAGCTGTGTAAATTCCACCACTGTGGTCTCACTTCAGAACGGGGTCTGATGTTGCATTGCAACCACTGGTAGGAGTATTAGAGCAAGGATATCAAGACTGTCTCAAACCAGAGGCAGCACATGGCCAACAGGGAGCTGATGTACCTCGGACACAAAAAAGGAAACATTCTCATGGCTTGAATATGGTCAGCTGGACTATGACAGATTTAAGCCAAGATACAGTGAGATTTTGTTGCCCCTCTTTACTGTCCAGTGTGCAGCGTTTCATACCACAGTTCATAAGCACTAACATGCAGAGAATTAATATCTTTACACCTGCCAACTCTAATGTACAGGCAGTAAATTCCATCAGAAGAGATGGTCAGTCTTCGTGGAGAAGAGCATCCTCCCAGGTGCAGAACCATTGCACAACCTGAAAACTTCACTTATCCCACATATTTAAAGCATTTGGGAGAATTTTACACCACTCATCTGGCATGTAAAGCCATGCCCTTCGTGACGAACAGATAAAGGAAGACATTATTTATAACATTTTGAAAAAGAAGACATTCATTACAGGGCTTATTTCAAAAAGCACATATACATACATTTAAGCTGTTTTTTTAAATGATGTGGTTGTTATATAGGTGAAGTGGATATACATTGAAATAGTGCAATTTTAAAACAAAAGTTAGTGCAGGAGTCAAACTACAACAATAACAAAACCCAAAATATAACTTTATTTTTTTTGTTGTTGTTGCAGAAACACATTACTGTCTGGGTTCAAAGAAAAGTATACACTGTTTTCAAAAGCACTAAAGTGCTCTTGAAAGGTATCCATCCACCTCTCAGTGAGATTAAGGGTTTCTTTTGGGATTGAAACTAGGATCTTTTTGAAATAATATGGGGTTTGGTTTTGATGTAGGGTGATGATATCTAACAAGCTGCTATCAGTCGAAAAATACTATCAAGTAAAAAAGTGCATTTCCTTTGTTGACATCACAAGTAACAGCAAGGAAAATAATCAGAGAAATACTTTGTTCTCACATACACTTATCAGCATTTTGTAACTCATTTATAGAAGTAGATTGCATCCCATTGTTCAGTCTTTCAGCAGCGACATGAAAGGCTGATGGCAATGAAATGTAAAAATATGGATTCTAAAACAATAATATTGTCAAGAAACTTAGGAATAACTTCAGTTTGAAGCAAAATAATTTCTAATTCATTTATGCAAGTAGTTGTTTTTACTTATGTGGTCCTTTTAAATTAAAAAGTTGTGTTGGGAAGCCCTTTCCTATTGCCATTAATTTAATGCTGGGATGAAGGAATAGCTGATCCTTCTTATAAGAGTAGAAAAATAATTATAAAACAAAAACTCTTATGGTAAACTGACCATACTAAAGACCATAAACATTTTTGATTTGCACAGAGGCATCACATCAGCTTGAGAAAAACAAACAGAACAAAGGAAACAGAAATTGCTAGACTTTGCTAATGAACTGTAGACAAGAGAGGAAAGGTGATAAGGAAAAATTATCAGGTATACCTGTGCAGCAAGTAATGATTATTTTTCTGTGCCTGAGGTTTTGTCTTTCTTTCCTCTTTCCAAAGATCACTAAAAGAAGGGCAGTAGCAGGGAGTAGGCTGTGTGTACCTGTGTCTGTTTCTTTTCACACACAGGTGCACGCACACACACACTCTCAAAATCTTTCCACTGGCTTTTGATTTTAGTAAATCATTTAACTCAACTGGAAGAGAGTCTACAACTTCTTGCTTTTAGCATTATAAATATTTCAAATGTTATAAAATCTATTGCAAAAATGTACATTCAGTGGTTTTATGAGGCACAAGACCTGCTAATGTATTTTCAGGGAAGCTTGCGTGTACTCTGTTCTGTCCACTGTTGGACAATGGTGGAGAATCCAGGGGCTCACGCTTGATTGCTTGAACCAAGCAGGGATTTTTAAATTCACATGGCATTTTGAACACCTCATTAACCTGCTCTTTCTCCTCCCCTGGGCCGGGGCTGTAGAAGTGGCTGTAGCAAGCTGTGTGTGGCAGGTCGGGCACGCTTTCCAAACACACAGAGGAGTTCTGAGGGCAAAAGGGGGCCACCTCCTTGCTCCGCGAAGCCTTGCCAGCTCGGTTCAAGTTCAGGCTATTGGGATGATTTGCTATGATGCGTTGCCAGTTATGGGGTGTGTAAAGGCAGTGCCTTGGCTTCTGGCAAGGCAGGGCAGGCTGGCAGAGGTCCGGCTCTGTTTTGAGGTGCACTCTGCTGGGATAGCTGGGCACCTGCTTTCTCACCGGGCCGCTCTCATCCAGCCAGGCTCGGCTCTGCGAAAGCAGGTAGTTATCGGCAATGTTTTCAGAGTCAGAGTCATACTCCGTTTTGATGGGCATCTCCAAGGGAATGGCTGTGTCATAGAGAGGCTCTGAGGATGTCAGTGGTCTCTGCAGCTTCAGATGGTCTGGCGCATAGTTCTCTGCACAGCGCTGTTGGAGCCCCGAGTAAGACTGGCCGTTTTCTGTGTTCCCCCAGTGGGAAGGACAAGTTGATGCCAAATTTAAAAAATTTTGGTCTCTGTTGTAGAATGATCCACCTCTCCTGTTTGGACATGTGCTCATTCTCTGGCTCATAGAACAAGAACTGGAGTTTCTTAAAGCCCAGCTACTGTTTGTGGTACAGTTGTTTTGAATGCCTAAAACTGATGTGTTAGAACTGAGAGGTTCCTCTTGCATAAAACACTCACCATTAGTATGAGGCTCAAACTTCACTTTTACATTATCTTGTTCATTCTTCACTGCTGCCCAGTTAAGATGCTTCCACTGGCCCAGAGTTTCAATGGCACTGTTGTAGGAAAGCCCCTCCAGGTTTCCTTTTAAACTGGCAAAACCACTTAGTATCTTCAGCTGTTCATCTTCTTCCCTTTCAATAACAGTAGAAAAAAGAAGTCAGGTCAATCAGAGGTTTCTAAATGGTTGTTTTCTGGGATACAGAGTGCATTACAAGCCCTATATTGTCCTCAATATGGGACTCTCACACTCTTGTGCACATAATCTTTGCATTTGCTTGAGAGAACAAAAGAGTGTCCCCGCATCTGGGTGTCAATGTGTGTGCGCAGCTAACTTTCTGAGGCATTGCTTCATTTGAATTCATGCATTGTTCTTCCATTTCAGGCACAGAGTTCAATAAAGAACCTAAAAATTTTAGTACATTACAGTAATTCTCTTGTGCTTTTGTTCTTCCCTTAAAATATTTCTAAATAATATTTGTGGGTAGAAAATTCGAGAGATAAAATACAAGTAGTATCTTAAATTAGATATATTTTGTTAACAAAGAGTTATTTGGACAAAGAAGAGCTTTCTGATCTGAGAGATTTGAGGGACAGCTGTGTGAGTCTTACATTTCTGAGCTGAGAGGAAATAAAGTGCCCAAATTAAATAACCAAATAGTCACAGATGTTCATATTGAGTGTATGTTTGTTTTATATGTCTAACTTAATTTATGTTGCCTTTTGTTTTCTAAGATGGCCAGTGAATTAATTTTCCATGACCTCCAGCTGAAGTACTCAGCATTGAAGAAGAACACTGGCAGAGAGTGTTGCCTGAGCACTTCCATGCCCAAAGCAGCTGTTTTCAGAACTGGGTCCAAATCCTGTGATTTTAAGTGCTGATTCCCAACTCTGTGGGGTCAAGTGCCATGAAACCACCTCATGCATCTCCAAGAAAGAAGCAGACATCTCAATAGGAAACTGCATAGGAAAACCTGAAGAGCTACTGAGGGGTTTAGAAGGCTTTTTCTTAGTTCACATTAGAACTTTTTCCTTGGGTATTGAATCAATGTGCAAGAAAAGGATTTTCCAGTAGAGGGAGTCCGTGTTGTTACAAAGAGAGAATGTCCCACTAATAATGTACACCATGAAAGAACAATATTTTCTCTCTCTCTTTTTTATATTTTGAGGCATTAAATATTTTCAGTCCTCTACTAAATATTCTTATTATTGACAGGATTGGCATGCAAATAGTCTCATAAAAGTTTTCTGCAGAACATGCTTCTCAAAAAATGGTCAAATTGGAAAGCACAGGCTGAACAAAATGCAATAGTCAAAAAAAGTTAAACCCCCAAATGAAGAATTTTACAGTGAAATAGTATCCAGTGAAAATTCTCCAAAAGAATCTGTGTTTCCTGGAAGACAGCATACATTTTAACAACAACAACCAAAGAAGTTGTAGCAAATACAAAATCTATTGCAGACTAAGGCAGAACTGAATATAATCACTAAAGCCAGCTCTTGTAATACTTCAGTCTGTGGGAACCATCAAGCCCAAAGGAAGGATTTTAACCTCTGAAAGCAAAAATGTAACTAAATAAACATGTTTAATTGCACAAAAACTATGTTGAAGTAGAGAAACTAATAAAAGAAACAGCCCCTTTTAATCTGCTTCTTAATAGAAATTAATTCCCTGACACAGCAAGATGATGTTTGTGCCGTCCTAGTAAAGGTAAAAAGTTCCAGCATCCTCAGGTGAGAGCTCCCCTGCTATTCATATGGATCCTAGGAGATACACTGCCTGCAAGGAATAGCTACTCTAGAAGTGCAAAGACTTTTTTCATGTATTTCTTCCACCTGCAAGGCATTCTGAAGGAAAAAATCTGGGATAACAGCCACATTTTTAACACGGGGCAGATGGTGGCTACGTAAAACTCCTGTCCCTGCCCACTGAGTCCGCTCTCTTGTCTCTTCCCTCAGACCAGCTTGAAGAGATACTTCCAACAAGGCCCAGAGGAACTGGAACAGACAGTCCCATGAGAGAAGGATGCAAAGCCCACTTGAGAGGAAAGGGTAAAACACATCCAAAAATTCCTCTCTGAATGCAAATCTGTGAGATTAGTTTACTGCGAGATTAGTTACTCCGCGTCTGAGCCTACAGACAACTAGATGTATCTGTCTACAAGCATCCAATGAACATGAGTACCCTTCTTTAGGTTATGTTGCACATACACAGCTGTAAACATCAGCTCAACTGTCTCACATGAAGGAAAAAAAAAGCTCAACATAGTCAAATGCTGATGAGCAGAAAAACTAGGACACTAGATTTTCAGCTGCAATGTAAATCAAAACCCAAATTATATTTTTTTTTGTCCAAGAAAGACAAATATTAATAATCAAGTAATTTATTTCTGTGTTAATGTATATGCATACTCAACTTCAGAAGAAGAAAAGGCTGAAGGCAGAAAATAAATATTGTTTAGGATTGTAACTGCCATTTCACATGTTCCAAGACAAAAATAGATTTCCATATAATATGTAAACTAAATTTTTCTCATTCAGCTCTTCTCTTAGGTCACTACAGCCCTTTGAAAGATTTCATAGAAAAAGAATGCATTCATTTTCCTATTTTTTTTTCTTTGGTACTGGAAAATATACTTACTTTAACATTTGCTGTTGGGCAAGGACATATTCTGAACAACCACTTCGATACAGAAGTTGAGTGTTAGCTTGAACCCAGACCCAGTGATCTTCATTTGTTTGTACTTTCACTAGAGAAATGCCATTTTCTCCATTATTCTTTGCTATATAATTTAAAAGAAAATAGATTTTAATACAAGCAGTATTAAGTTATTTTTTGCTACCTAAACTGCAAACATTCAAAGATTTCATTGTTTCTCTAGAAGCATCAGCATAGGAAGGTACAAACTAAAATATGTCACAAAATGAAGCAAATTACATCTTAAAACTAAAATTTGAAAAGCCTAGTGAGACACTTAAACTGTAACTAAGGATTTTACAGAAATAGTTATTCCTTCTAATATTTTCATCCCAGTAGTTGTAGAACCCACAAAAAAATGTTCATGAAAAATGGACCTGTAAAAGAGGAATGATTTTTAAAGATAGTAAAGATTTCCAGCAGATATGACAGAAGGATGAGTACAAGTCCGCTCAAGAAGAAGTTGCACAGTGGGGTAGACTTACCATCAAAATTTTATCCATTGTAAAATCTGAACTAGCGCCTAGACTCTCATAATTTTTCCACAGCCAAACACTGGAAAAGCATGAGTCAAAGCTGTGGGCACATCATGAGTTTTAAAGACAATGCATTCTAATTTTCCTCTGTTTTCTAATCTTTGGGGAAAACTAACATTTGTAACATATCCTTCAGTTTTCATCAAAGAGGAATAGATTTTATTATTAATTATCAGGATTTTCATATAAACTTACTAAATTCAATGCTGCCACTTTCAGGCAAGCATACATTGAGTATTCTTTTACTACCATTTATTTACTATTTACTATTTACCGTGATTGTTTATTTCTCTGTAAATTTTTTACCCACTCTGAAATCACAGAGTTATTCTGCACTATCTTTTGAGGTTGACAATTTTTTTTTTTTTATTTTTTAAAAGAAGAGGTGTTAGGGAGAAGAAGGAGAGAATTGGGAGCAAAACCTGAAAAACTTAGCAGGAGAAAAGAAAAGGTTATTTTTCCATAAACTGTATATAATCTAGAAGTACTTAGCAATACCTTTGATTTGGTTTTCAGCAATCTGTAATGCATTAGTGAAGGCAGCACCTTCATGGTGATTGTTTCTTCCATATAATTCTGTTGCTTCACAAAGTCCTGAACTGCCTTTTGAACTGTAGCTGTAGAGGGGAGAAAATGTGGAAAATTCCTTGTCAGTGAATGACATCACAGTAGAGTCACAGACTCTAAAAGATATGACTTTCAAGCTGGTGGCCATTAGCAAAAGCATTTGTTTTAAGTATACAGTAACTAGCACTAAATAATTATTTTTTTCCTGCATCATTTGGTTGCTCTAGCTAGTGTGTGACTGGAGTTCTGCATTCAATTAAGAGGAATAGTTATGTTTAGGAATATTCTGTTCATGACTTACTATATCTGGAAAAATAAATTTCATCTGGAATTGAGACAAATGCTATGTATATTCTGCTCTTCCTATTCAAGTTACGTTCGAGGTACGTACATCACAGTGACCAGCAATGAATTTAAAAGCTGGCATAACTTCAATTTGCAATAAGCACCATATGATTTGGATGTATTTCTTCCAATCTTTAGTTGAAAATACTTGAATCAGGGCTTTAAAAGGGTGCACTGTCTGTAATACTGAATTACAAATGCTTCCTTGCATTAAGACTATAGGGGAAAGAAAAAAAAAAAGACTGCTTAAATCTGCCCACCATCCTTGGCTACCATGCTTCAGGCCTGAACCTAAGGAAACACTGAAGATAAATGGTTGCTTCATTCTTGTCAGATCTTTGGCCACTGTCCCGTCAGGTAGTAAAGCATCTCTCTATTAGCAACTCAATTCTGACCATCAGTTAATTTCACCTGGGCCACTGGAAAAACTAGCAAATAGAAATGACTTTCTAACTCTATTCCAAAGGCCTGCATAGTCCACTATATCAGACTTCCAGCAATTTAGTTCTTCTCAAAAGGGTGTATGTACTAGAACCACATTATACATCTGGATAGTGAATCCACACATACACAAGCATAATCTAATTAAAAGCCAAATTATGGCACTGTCAGTGATACTGACAAACATTCTGCTTCACAGCAATAGAACTCATTACTGTAAGGTTATGTGTAAGCAAATAAGGGAAAATACGATCCTAGCCCCAAACATCAACAAATTCTGCCATAGAAGAGTAACAAAAATAAGTGTTAGGAAGGAGATGAGTCTGAACACAATATGTCCTGATCTTTTGTGATTGCTACCAAATGATCACCCCCAAGCCATTTAGTGCAATTGTAATCTTACGTGTTCGTAAAACTTCAGTTGAAAGATAAATGCATACACCAAGTACAACTCATTAAACTCTTTGTGAGCACAGCCCCTACACACACACATATTCAGCTTTCTGAAGTTTTCCTTTTCCTTTGTTAACAAAATGCCCAAGTTGAAATAATAGTGTTAGCAGAAGATACTGAAATTAGAAAACTTGCAGTAAAAATAGTTTTTATTTTCCACTTTTACAGGTGGCTTACTGCATTGGTGACTTTTGAAGGTTAGAAAGATATCCTAATGTTCCATTTCTAATATCAAATTTTGTATATTGAAATATATTACTTAACATGTATTATAAATAAAGTACAATATATTGCATCATCTTGCCCTCTATTATGTTATATTATGGTAATTGTATTATATTTATTTTGTATTCAATAGTAAATCCAGATAAATTATTCACTTTTCTAAGAAAGAGTTTTAAAATTGAGAGATATTGAGCATAATTTGTGGTTTTTACATGCTTAATAGCCCATAATCTTCACTAAATACCAAAAGATTAATTTATAAATACTTTGTGTTTGCTGCTGCTGCATCATCAGCTTTGTGTTTTGTTCTCACAAGCAGGCTTTTCATCTTCATCTCTGTCACAGAAGGGAGGAGAAGTGGTACCACTATGCAGAATAAGGACAGCTGAGGTGGCAGTACTGTTCCTGATGAGGACTTCTTCCTTTGTCCAAAGAGGAACTTTAGTTTGCCTTGGAACTGCATTGTCTGGTATAAAGAAAACCAAAAGAAAACAAAAAAAACCAAACCAAACAAAAAAAAAAAAAAACCAAAAAAAAAAAAAAAAAACCAAACCAAAAAAAAAAAAAAAAAAACCAACAACAACAAAAACAAACAAAACAAAACAAAAAAATCCCCCACAAAAAAAAGGCAAGAAAAAAAAGAAAAAACCCAACAACTTAAGTATTTAGTGTATAAACATTTAAAATACTAATACAACCTAGAGAGAGTGTCAGTTAATACCAAACCCAGTTTTGAATCAGCGATTAAAACTACGAATTTCATTTTCTTCATCTAATTTAAACCATGTCATTTCAGAGAGAAGGTGGGTGGAGGTAGCATCAACAGTAAGATGAGGCTTTTGAGGCTGGCTGAGAGTTTTTTCTCTCTTGTGTACTCAGCAATAAAAGTTCTGTGTTACGTTCTATTTGCCAAAACGGGCCACGTACAGTGGTGCAAACAATTGTTTCCTCTGTACCCCACTGAAGCTGGAACCATTATTTTTCCATGCTCTGTTCTCTCTAGCAAGAGGATTTCTTAGTTTCTGTCCTCTTATTCTGCACTTTCTTTGGGAAGTATAAGGACTGGCACAACCCAAGAGTTGTGCAGACAGGTACCAAGGGGGAAAATAGGCCCAAGATGGCCACAAACAGAGTGCACAGCTTGGAAGGAACCATCCATCCCTGCTTCAAGTATCTGTGTAGTCAGAGATCAGGGTTCAAGTTAATAGCAAGCTGCTGCCTCTCAGTGAAAAATTAACTACCAAAAAAATGCCCAGTGAAAAATCAGCCCGTTTGAGTTAGGCATTTTCCAGAGCTACGAGATTAAAGCAGGGATGCAGAAATGATGGCTGTCAAGACCATAGCCTTCCAGCAAATGAGCATCTGAGACAGAACTTGCATTTCCCAGTCTCATGCTGATTGTTTCATTTTCTCTGCACATGCTGGAGTTTTCCCTAAGCAGAAACAGCATTGGTCTTTACTAAGGAAATGGAGAAGAAGTGATTTCTAGAAATGAACGACTCCTAGTAGGATCATGCAAGAGACTCTCTAATTCTGGGTTTTATTATTAAAGGATTCTTCACAAAAGGAGACAACAGATAATTATTTTTCTTTCTCCTTAAAGCAAATACTTTGGGCTTAAATGTTAATTGTTGAAATTCAGACTTGCCACCCTTGCGCTATGCCCAGTACAAATTGAAGACAGATCTTGTTGAAAATAAACATTTTTAAAGTCTTCCAGTTTCAAATATTACAACCTTCTTTTCTCCCATAATTCTTTACACATATTAATAATTATTCTAGGTGTTTCTTGTCAGTGGACAGCAAAAGAAAAGTGTATCCTGTCCATGGATTTCCACAATATTTATGTTGAAAAATTTTTCATATGAAGTAATTAAAGTGTATAATGTCATGCCTACAGTGATCTAAGTGAAGTTGTACTTACAAGGAATCCAGAAGTACTGTCCAACAAGCAGCGAACTCGACAGATGAAACAACGAGTTAAAAAGGAAGAATAATCTGTTGTCATGCTGTCATTCTCTTGTGCTTTGAACAATTTACTGAGAATATATTCTTCTCCTAGGAACAACAGTGGAGGCAACATATATCAGATCGCACTAAGAAATAATGAAAATATTCTGTAGCAAATTGAGGAAGCTGTTACGGAAATTGCTAAAAATTACTTTATGGATGGGCGAATATTCAATGGTGTCATGTATGGATACATCTGCACATGCTCTAACAAAAGAAAAATTAAAGCTCTGCAATGGGATTCGGGTGAGTTTCTTCAGAAATTTGGACTTTATTTCCTGAGTTTTTGTGATTTTTAATGATGCAAAACAGGGTAACAGATGTTGCTGGTTTTGAGATCACAGATCACAGAAAATGCATTAGACAGGAGAACAAAATAACGAAAAATTACAATCGTAGAAAAAAAACAGAACAAAAAAATGGGCAGTAGATTATTAGCTAATGTTCAGGTGTTGCACCTCCTTGATTTTTTTGTACAAGTGCAGTTTTTTAAAATGTTTCCCAAAAGACACAAGTATTTATACAAAACTATGAACTTGAGACTTGAAGTTCTCCACAATATACATTAGGATGAAAATTCCAAATATTTGTAAATTTTATGGTTTGAAGTAGTAGTGCACGTTGTTTTGCTTGTTTCCTGCGTACTTCCTACAAAATCTTTCAAAGCTCCTCAGATAAGGAGGATATAAGGATATAAGGAGTTTATAAGACTCCTGTAAAACACAGAAACTGTTTTTCAAGAAATGCAAGAAATTCCACCAAAGTTTCACAACTGTGTTCCTGAGGACTTCATAGAGGTTTCTGAAGGATTTCTTGCAAGTTTCTCCCCTCTCACCTGGTGATTATACTCCCAATTTATTTCCTCAATTACTACCTCACCTTCTGGTGAAATGCATAGATTTTGCTGGGATCAATCATTCTTTATAAGGTTAACAATCTCAACATGATTGTAAGTTCTGTAGTTGTGATTTCAGCTTAATAGCTCATGTAGGATAAAATTTGAGGGCAGGCATGTAATTCCCATCCTAGGGAAGTATAGCCTCAGAGGAAAAGGTGCGTTGCTGAACCTATTTGCTCTTCAGAAGGCTCCTGACTACATCATTTTACATGGGAAAACAAATGGCAGAAAGTGATACTTCCATGGTGATTCTGTGCAGAAACCTTTTGCATCAATGAGAGGACTGTTGATGTCCTGATGTGTTGACAACAAAATTTTGGCAATATGAAGAACTGATGCTGCTCATTCTGAGCATGTAAGAATACATGTGTAGGCACATTAGAGAAAAGCAAAGGAAACAACTTTGTAGCACCAGTGGCACGCTCTACCTTATAAATGCCCAGGATCAGGAAGAAATGTCATCTCCGAGACAATAATATAAATAAATGGCCACTGTGCATCTTTCCAGTGAAGAATCTAACTGGAGATGATACTGACATGGGCATAGGTGGAATGCAATTCTACCTCCGTACAGTGGTGCCTATGTTTCCAATCAACGTGCACAATCCCACCTGTTTCTGACTGTAGTTGCTGTCCTGACATCTGGGGAGGATTCATGGCCCAGTGCAGTTGTCTACAGAAATCCTGGCGGTCATCCACGTGAATGTAATCATATATGTTTTGGTGCATTACATCAGTCTGAAACAATTACAACAAGGAACGGTTAATTAGTAACTGTAGGGGGGCAGCCACTTATCTTTAGATTGATACTTTGCTTAAAATCATGGCAGGCGTAGGACACCTTCAGAGCAGCTTTAATGAGGAAAGTTGTTTCAAAGACCCCTACTTCTCAACATTTGCTTTTTCTCTTCACATCCTAAGATGATTCTTTCTATTCTTAACTCTTTTGTACATATGCAAATATGAGTAATAAACACCCAACTGACAAGTGATGATTAGTGGCATCCCCCAGGGTTTATGCTGGGACAAAACCTCTTTAATTTTTTGACCAACGAATCACAGGATAGAATGCACGCTCAGCAGGTTTGCAGAGGGTACAAGCTGGGGAGGGCAAGGCAGCTCCTTGGTGGGCTGTAAAAATAGGCTGATAGGAACCTCAGGAAGGTCAGCAAAGGCAAATTTCTCTCTTAATTTTGGGTACCCCATGAAAAGAAAGATATTAGAAAGTCAAAATGAGCCCAGGAGAGTGCTACCAAGACTCTTAAGGGAGCTGGAGCGCATCCAGGAGAGAAGAACAGCGTTTGCTCAGCCTTCAGAAGGGAAAACCACAGCAAGAATGTACTGCTGCCTACATCAACCAAATGAGCAGGGGAAGAGAAGACAAAGGCGGACTCTTCTCAGAAGTGAGAGGGTAAGAAGCAACAGACACAAGTGGCAACATGGGAAGGTGGGAATTAATAATAAGCGGAAAAAAAAGTTACAGTATTGGTGGCTAAACACTGGAACACATCCTCCAGAGGGGTCATAGAAACTCAAAGATTGATCAGTCCTGCATCAACCTGCTGTAGCTCCATGTGATTTGAGCAGGAGGTTGGACTAGATGACCTCCAGAGGTCCTTTCCAACTGTATGGTTCTGTTATTCTGTGACTTTAGAATATACTCATTACACACAAGACAACCATCTTGAAAAGAAAAGCAGCATCTTATATTGAAATTTAAAAGAAACTTCTAGCTAAATCTTAGTTTTATAATGGATCATGTTTCTGCTAACAAAAGCTTTATAAAAGGAAATTGAAAGAAATAAATCTTCACCTGTTGGATTGACAAGAAAAAAATTAGTCTGAGATGGCATAGTAAAATAGCCTTATTTCAAGTGTATGTCTAATCAGCAGTCAAAGGTATGCAACATACAGTGCTGCATTTAAAAATAATAGCAGAAGTTATAATATTGACAGTACGTGTATTGACAAGTTAATACTATGTCAGTGGCTGGGTGTTCTTAGTAATTCTGAATATATTTACCTGATGAAACCCTAGATAGTCCACAATGGTCGATGACGCATAGAATATCATTCCATCTGCACTCACCACCAAGGCAAAACCATTCAGTGACTGAAAAAGGAAAATAAAATACTTTAAAAGATAATCAGAAGATAAAGAATAAAATTAGTATCAATGTAATCATTTTAAGAATATCCTGGAATGAAAAAACTCACTCTGCAAAAAGTTGGACACTAAATTCTTTCCTACCATGAAAAATAAATAACAACCTGGAACATGCTTTCTTTCTTTTCTAAAAAAGTTAAAATAGTTAATTAGAGTATAATGACCATATTATATTATTTGTTAATTTTCTGCATAATTATATTTGCTCATTAATTCATAGAATTAAAAGTTTAATAGCAAGTGTCAACTGCTTTATTTTTCCTTTTAATTTAAAACTGCACATTCCATAATAATTGCTTTGAATATGTATGCATTAATACATATAATAATATCCAAAAGGAAAATTAAATACATGTGCTGTTTTAACTCTAAAACTGGATCTGTATTTTTTTTAATGGCTTTTTTTTAACTGTTATAAAAATACATACATAGCATAATTGCATAAATGCAATGAATATAAAATGTCAGTCCTCATGCTGCACAAGGACTGACTAATTCTGCCTCTCTTCCCTTGATAAAGGTCTGGTAACATATCTTTACTCCAGCAGGTTTGCACTCCAAGGCAGTCTAGATCCTTTCGTGTGGTGGTTTTGAGGTCTTTGAGATTACAGTTCAAAGAGCTGTTGCTGAAATACTGCTATATTATTATTATCCTTGCTTCACCTTACTCTCAATGTGCCTATTAATCCTGAGTTAATCCTGAAACACAGTGAGGACAGATTTTCAATTGCTCAGTAACCAGATACACTGACATATTTTTGTGAGCTTGGTTCTCTTTTTGGTTCCTAAATAAGGACCAGATTTCCAAGACTGCTTGAAAGCTGTTCCCACTGTGACAATGGTGGGCAGAATTTCAAGAGTTCAGTGCACAATAGACTGACCTCCTCAGAAGGTTTGGCTCCCATTGTAAATGTGGAGCACCTTTGGAAATGTGGCCCCGTGGGACCACCCTTGGCCAGAGGCTCCGTGCCTTGAAGAACCTGTGAAACAATGACTTGAGTAAAGTAGTGGAGAGCCTTCAATGGCCGTAGCAGCAAGTGATTCAATCAGGTCAACACCTACCATAAGCCAGTGCTAAGAACAGTCAATGACAAATCTTGTTTTGCTGCAGGTCAGCTCCATAGGTGCAGATCCTTTGCAGAGCAAGAGTGATCTCTGCCTTGTTGTGCCTGTGTTGAATACTAGTTATCCTTGTCAACTCTTCGAGCACAAGAACTGCTCAACTGGTGTTATTTCCTGCTCTAAATAATGACCAAATTTGTCCCAGCACCTCACCAACCAGAAGATGGTGTGTCAAGATTTCTGCATCTTCACATCTGCACCTCTCACTGCACTGAGAGGAACCTCCATGGATGGTATCTGTCATATACATTTCCAACATCAAATGGAGACAAGAAAGCATTTTTGTCATCTTGTCTCTTTGGTCTCGTCTTCAATGTTAGGAATTTTATTACATTTTGAATATCTGGCAGGCCTTTTAATTTGGATAGACTAAAATTTTCCATAAAGATAAGTGTGGGACACTTAAGGGAGCTCCCTTTTTTCTGTGCCCCTTACCAGGCACATTCTGAAAGACCTTGAGTCCTGACGTCCATGAAACAGGACCAGGTAGAAGTTAAGAACATTTTTTTAAAAATGAAAGAAATTTTCTTAATTAAATAAAAGTTCTCGAGCTATGCAAAGTAATACACCAATCCCTACCTTCATTGTTTAAGCTTCAAAGACCACAAGATCTGATTATTATCAAAGAATCCTGCACATTATAATGCTGAACATCCTTAAAATGTACCTTCTATTGTCCTGCAGGCAAGCTGGAGTTTTTCAGCCTGTGTAGGGATATCTGCCTTTGTCAATGATTGCTTGTATGAATCAAGAGATAAATTCATCTATTCAAAAAATTAGTCTTCTTCAGCATATTGCCACATACTCTTTAGGCCTAGACACATACATAAGAGATCAGTCTCTACCCTTATGAAGCAAGACTTGATCCCCCACAGTGGAAAGCAGGAAGGTTTTTCTTTACACACCTTTTTCCACAGAACTAGAGTCAGGCTGAACTAGATGCAGCAGTTTCTAAAAACTGGAAAGGGAAATGGAGCCATGTGTATTTCCAGGGATTCAGATCAGTGTACTGGCAACTGTGAGGTTGGAGGAGGTATTAAGAAATAGGTGGGATGGAGGAAGAGGGAAGAAGAAGTGGAGGAAAAGTTCAAGGAGCGCTGTGTTTAGGTTGAGCCAAAAACAAGTGTGGATTTGAAGCATGCATGTAAATGAAGGGATTTCCAAACTTCCCCTGTTTTGTTTTTGGTTTGTTCTCAAAATTCGGTGTCCTCTCCTGAGGTTATATCTCTTCATTAAGCACCCCCTGGTTTTCACTACCCCAGCTGCAGACATCAGATGCTTTGCCCTGCAAGCAGGGAAAGCAAAATCCACTTTGGTGTAGAAACAACTTTTATGGAGCCACATGACTAAGCTGAGGATGAACACAAATTCCATGTCTCTAAATTCACTTTAGCTGGGAAACCTGCTGCTTCAGACACATTAAAAAAAGACAAACTGGATATCAAGTAAAACTTTACACCAATGAGTCTCATCCACACCTGCAAATTCTTCTGCTTTGTCAGTATTACTCTAAACTGTAGTTCAGTGGTAAAACAGACATCTGTAACACAGAAGACTAGATAGAGTCAGAGCTGGGCTGGGATTTATACTTTTCTTATCTACTTACCACAGGTGGGGATAAGGAGGAGGGTGTTTGCTAGCACATTGCCCACTCCGAGTGGGTAATGGTCATTGCAAACCAGTAGGGAAATACCTTTTCCAACCTCTCAGATAAATATCTCAGGTACCAAATACAACTCCATACTGAAATCCTTTACAGTAACACTAAATAGATGTTTTTCCATTTTTCTGGCCATAAGCCTAGTGACTTGTTAGACTGAGTAGGAGAGACAGCTTCAGTCCACAAGAATGAGTGAAAACTATTCCCAGCTTTTTTGTTCTAAGTTACCACATCTTACATTAAACATCACAACAAAGTATATGGCTCCACTTATGATTTTTAAACATTCTCTGTTATTGAAATAAAATTCTCAGCAATAGTTTTCTCTCATTCCCAGTGAAGAGGAGGTGTGTTGTGTCAGAACCACAGCAGCCATGTGTCTGGGAAATGGATAACCTGGAGACATGAAACAGGAAAGAGGACGTGGACCAGCCTCATACCTGCAGTTCTCACTCCCTAATGAAAACACTTTTGCCCTGAACACTGAGGGGACAGCACAGAGAAGTAAAGGCAGCTTCTCTCATTTCACTTTAATCCTCTCAGCAGAAATAATGGACAGCCTAATGGGGCTCTGGTATTTAGAGCAAGTGTATTTCAATCAGTACAGTCCACTTACATGCTAAAATATTTTTTCAATATTGCATATTCTTACACATGCACACATAGAAACAAACACATAAAGCTATTAGTATGGACCTTAAAACTTCTACGACAAAAAACAACTAACTTCAAATCTGAAAAAAATACATGGTTTTAAACTGCCATTTGGTAAACCATATGGATTCAATGACAGATGGAATTTCTAATCCAGGATAATAGCTGAAACATGTGAGACAGACTTAAGTATGTATTGTGAACATTTGTTTGTTTGTATTTGGCTTTTTAAAAACACTTACATGAGTTTTCTGCATTGTACTTAAAAAAATGAAATCATGTGGGACTTTTTTCCCAAATGAAAAATAAAAGAGAGCTTGGCACCAGATAGGGGACTGTGTTCTTTTAAAAAAACATGTACATCCAATTATGTACTCACGAAAAGCTGCACCTGCTACTGAAACAAAAAAACAATTAATCTGTCAGTTCAAAGAAAGTATGATATTATTCCGGTGCCTACAGTAGCTGTGAGATTAAAGTTATCAGTTCCTTCCATTAAGAAGTTTGTGAAACTTTATTAGTCAAGAGATTCTCTTTGGAAATGAAGGCAAATATTTTAAGGAAGATAGGACTTCCTTTGGCAAGATCCTTTATATATCCTGATTTTTTTTCCTGGTCTCATAGCAGAAAACCAGCCAGAAAATACTTCAAAGATATTTTGGTCAAGGTCATGGCATAGTAAAAATAAGGAGGAGAAAAAAAAAAGAGAGAGAATGAGTTCCAATGCACATTTCTCTTATTACTCTTCCTTGAAATAAAGGAAAATTCACTAGCATTAGGTCTCCAGAGACCGTGTTACTATGGCTACTAAAGTACAACAGTCAAGGCCTGCAGCCATGCCTTGCTTTGAACAGATTTTCGAGTCACGCAACTTGGGTACTAAATTTCCAGGGTCAGTTGGCTCACAGTTTATCTGGAACAGCTTCATTTAATAGTGGATCACTGGGTTTTTGCATCCTATGTGGGATGGGGCCATTTTCTGGTGATCTAAATAAGTAGCTATTTAAAAACTCTGGAAATTATATACTTGCTAGTATCTTATGAATATTAGGAGGAAAATGCAGACAGTTAATTGTGTCTTCTGTCTTAAACTGCATTGTTTAGTGAATCAGTATTTCTTTCCACTGGTGTTTTTAGGACTCATAGCTGCCCTTCTCAAAAATCCCTCTGAACCCCTGAGGTTCTCTTTATATTAAAAAAAAAATAACTCTTACAGAACCCTGAAGTAAAAAAAAAAAAAAAGTAAAAAAATAGCATAAAAGACTATTCAGAAATACCATATCTGGTGACATCAGAATATGGCCTTTGCTCAACAAGTACAGTATCTCTTAGGCCTCTGGACTGTCTATCTACAAAGCAACTTCAAAAGGAGTATTTCTGTGAGTAAGCACTATTTCGTGCAAAGGAGAGTGGCAGAATTGTTTTAGCATTCAGTTTTGATCAAGGGTTTGCGTGTACAGATTAAATTTCAGGCAAAAGAAACAAAACAGAAGACAAATTTCCATCATTT